GATGCGGATCTGTACTGGTGAGTAGGACGAAATGCGCACGGAAATGCTGGCGAGTGCACTGAGCTGCACTGCTGGCAGGCGGGTCGTGCTGTTCCAGTACACCGCGAGGCGCAGTTGCCACAAGTTGACATTGATAACCTGGCTTTGGAGATTTATTTTATTTTTCATTGCTATCAGGTTCGGCTTAATTCCCTCTGTGCTGCGCTGATGAGTCCACAAAGGACGAAACAGTTGTCCGCAGATTGAGTATTGATAACGTCCAGTTTCTAGGTGGCAAAAGCTGGCGATTGGCCGCGACGATCGTGGCCAAATACGTCCACAGGCACTCGTGAAACGCGGTGAGGAACAGTGGAACACAGACCATTCATGAACACTGTCCAGGTCTCAACTCAAGTGCTACCGTCATGCAGCCTACGAAGCGCAGTTCTGGGTTCGGATTCAAATAAATGCTAGTGCGCCAGAAGAGCAACATATGTCATGAGGGGCTACGGAGTTGAAACGTCGCCGGAGCTGGACTGACTGCAACTGTATCGGGCAGCAGGAAATCGAAGTCCACGAACTCGCCTCTCTGGACGCGATCGAGAAGGGCCCGTATAGGACAGTCAGGTTCACCTGCTGTTGGTGCTGCATGCGCATATGGCGGTCGTCACTGCACCGGGCTCCCAGTAGGGTCCGGCCTGCTGGCGGCGAGCGGCGATACGGATCCAAGTAGAGCGAGGAGAAGCTGGGTGGCGTTGGTGACGGCAGTGGACAACTCCCGTTGTTACTTCCAACAGAAAATCAAAGTCCACGAACTCGCCTCTCTGGATAAGAATTACGATCGTCAGGCTCGCGCCTGCTGTTGCAGTGGTGGTGCTGCGTGGCGGCCGTCGCTGCGTTCGCAGTAGGCGGGCGGCGGAGCCAGGTAGAGCGAGGCGATCCGGAGAGGCTGGACGCCGGTTGGTGACGACGACATTGTTTCTAGGCACAAACAAGGGTCGCTGAGATCGCGTGGAGGTACTTCATTTCAGGAAACCTGATGATGGCGCAAGCTAAAAAACCACAGTCGACGTTCCACTGTAGACGACGACATTGTTTCAGGCACCAACAGGCACCAACAGGCGTCAATGAAGTCTGAATTGAAACGCAGAGATACGAGAATGCAAGCTTGAAAGTCTAACGAAAGGAAATTGTTTCGGGAACACCTGTTCCGCAAGTTGCACGCTCGAAAGTCCAAACAGCAATGACATGAAAGAGACATTGTACAGGATATTGAAGGGCGCGTGCCCACGTGACTCGCGCATGCGTGCAGGTTGGGCCAGCTCGCTGGGCTGGCTGCTAACTCGCGTTAGCATGCTAACGCTCATTTATACGCCTGGTAATATCAGAATGAGTATGCCCTTGAAAGGTCCAGCATGGCCATGTGTAGGATTGATAGAAGCATGGGAATATGTAGGATTGATAGAAGCATGGGAATATGTAGGATTGAGATACAAGCATGGCCATGTGTAGGATTGAAAGCATGGGAAGTTTTCTAGCTTACCTGCACCACCTCCATCATGATCGGCTTGATCCGCATTGGCCACACTGGGGCAATTATCAAAGCCGTCAGGTATACCGTCCAAGTCACTGTCCCTGTATTCAGGGTAGATGGATATACAAAGCAAGCAGTGCTCATCACTTAGCCCTTATTAATCTTATCCAACCACCCATACAGAAATTGACCACTATTGGTCAGTAGGGAAAATCCCACTTTTTTCAAAATATTTAACCTCAGGAAATTAAAGGGGAAGTTCAAGCCTAAAATCAAATGTTCACCAGTTGTAGTCTTTGGGGTGATGAGTCGAATGGTCTTGGTCCGAGGAAGCTGAGACGCTCCCTTCCTCCTTTATTCCCAATCGAACTCGCACACTTCCACCGAAACTGGGTGACTGCGTCCTACTAGATGGGGATTTGTATGCAAAATGTCACTAAAAGCGCCATTTCGTTCTTATAAAAGCACACCGCGATTGGCCCATATGTTGTAGTCTTTTGGACGCTGAGTCGACTGGTTTTGGTCCGAAAAGGCTGTGATGCAACGTTCGGCCCTTATTCCCAATCGAACATGGTTGAACAAGCGGTCACGTGCTCCTGCGTACACCAGTCACCTGGTCACCGCGCCAGCAGGCGACAAATTTCACACCAAGGTTCAACTCGAAGGTTCAAAGGTTCAACTCGAGTGACAGAAACTCGCTCAAACATGCTGTAAGTTGTAGCCTGCAGGCACGGTGACCAGGTGACTGGTGTACGCAGGAGCACGTGACCGCTTGTTCAGCCATGTTCGATTGGGAATAAGGGCCGAACGCTACATCGCAGCCTTTTCGGACCAAAACTAGTCGACTCAGCGGCCAAAAGACTACAACATATGGGCCAATCGCGATAATCCGGGCATTTATAAGAACGAAATGGCGCTTTTAGTGACATTTTAGCATACAAATCCCCATCTAGTAGGGCGCAGTCACCCAGTTTCGGTGGAAGTGCGCGAGTTCGATTGGAAATAAAGGGGGAAGGGAGCGTCTCAGCTTCCTCGGACCAAGACCATTCGACTCAGCACCCCGAAGACTACAACTGGTTAAAATTTGATTTTAGGCTTAAAACTTCCCCTTTAACTTTTCGGTTCCCTGTTGTTTGGGGTAGGTTCCTGAAGAAAGTTTTTGTCAAGTCTGAGGAAGAAGAGTAGGATTAGGGCATAGAGAATTAGTGCAAACGTACATGCCCGGTATACTCCATGAATGCACTCTGCATGGAGTATGGAACACTCTGCAATAGCTCACCTGTGACTGACATTGCAATTGTTGGCAATGTCATCGAAGTTGCTATCCAGCAATTGTGTGTGTGGTGTGAAAATGGTTACTCCCTGAGTGTGTGACAACATGCGCATATACACAAAAGAACACAACCACAGTACACAACACACAACGTAGCACATACACACACACACACACACACGCACGCACGCACACACACACGCGCGCGCGCTTGTGCACACATGCACGCACACACACACACACACACACACACACACACACACACACACACGGGTTAGTTAGTAATGCACTCTGTCCCTGATTGATTGCAGGTGGACCACCAGTCTAGCCATTGAACCTTTGTTTGTACACACAGTGAACAGGTAAAGAATACCTTTGCTTGTACACACAGTGAACAGGTAAAGAATACCTTTGCTTGTACACACAGTGAACAGGTAAAGAATACCTTTGCTTGTACACACAGTGAACAGGTAAAGAACACCTTTGCTTGTACACACAGTGAACAGGTAAAGAATACCTTTGCTTGTACACACAGTGAACAGGTAAAGAATACCTTTGCTTGTACACACAGTGAACAGGTAAAGAACACCTTTGTTTGTACACACAGTGAACAGGTAAATAACACCTTTGCCCAAAGCACAATGTGTATCACTAGTCCATAGGATATTCACCATGCTGGTTGGAGGATGAGAAGGCTTGAGAGGGGCGCCGCCATACATGATACTGTAAAGATTGTATGAAAACCTCAGTTGAACCGGAGCATAAGCTATCTACTCAGTACTCGTGACCATGCCGTAAAGCAGAAGACTCTTGATCTGTATGATTACTGTGTTTGATCTGTATGATTACTGTGTTTGATCTGTATGGTTACTGCGTTTAATCTGTATGATTACTGTGTTTGATCTGTATGGTTACTGTGTTTGATCTGTATGGTTACTGTGTTTGATCTGTATGATTACTGTGTTTGATCTGTATGATTACTGTGTTTGATCTGTATGGTGACTGCGTTTAATCTGTATGGTTACTGTGTTTGCTCTGTATGGTTACTGTGTTTGCTATAGTACCTGAAAAGGTGGGCATGAGCGACACTCCGGCCCAGGATTAGCTGTGTCATTGCTGGTACCAGCTACCCGTGGACAGCCATCATTCGCATCCAACAACCCTGCATACATTGGAAACAACATTGGTCAAAAGAACGAACGCCATGGTAAAAATGACAACACATCGAATAATACGATTGTGCTGAATATGAACCTCCATGCCAACTCAGGATATTCTCCTTGAACAATCAGAACATACTGGCGCTAGTGCAATAAGGAGTACGGTAGCTAGCTTATAGGATGTCGGAGCGCACAATGACATGAAACCAGTAGCATGCAGGGTAAATAGCCAGCACCAGCCCAACTGACAACCTGCATGCTGGGTTGGACCAGCCGTAGTTGGTATTGAACTCAAGCATTATCGTAGTAAAGATGAGGCCATAGTAGAATACTGCATTCCCAAGGTGACGAATGACTTGCAAACACCCTGGGTAGTACAATCATGCATGTACCCTCATCGTGCACAATCTGTATACTAGTTCATTAGGGTCATTGTGCCCATCTACACTACAAACACACACACACACACACACACACACACACACACCACTTACCATCACCATCAGAATCAGTGCTGCATGCATCTCCTATACTATTCTGATCTGAATCCCACTGCAGTGGATTAGGTGTTTCCGGGCAATTGTCGCACGCGTCGCCAATGTTGTCGCCATCCCTATCTCGCTGGTCTATGTTGGGGACGTATTGGCAATTGTCCTAAACAAACATACACACAGACAGACACACAAATACACACACAGAACACAGACACACACAAAACACAGACACACACAAAAAACACAGACACACAAATACACAAAACACACAGAACACAGACACACACATACAAATACACACAATATACTTATTACAGTAGCACCATGCAGTGATCATGTGCTCAGATACCTTAGTTAGTTTTTTCTTTGTTTGTAGTGACGGCAAGTGGGAGCAAGTTTCCAGCTCATCCCACCATCATTGGGATCAAGTGCGAGCCAAAATAGCCTGCAAGGTTAGTGTTTGTGTTTGAAGAGTTGTCTCAAGAAGGCCTCACACTGCAGGACATTAATTAATCAGGCTGACATGAAGCCGATGATTGACTGGAACATCACCACACTGTCAGCGAGTGTTGCAATAGACATTCACCAGGTCCACAGGCCCAGTTCGCCACCAACGAGACGGCGTTGCGAAAGGTCGATGCCGCCTTATCGGTGCTACCGGACTCCGCACCCGAGGCCAAGGAGCTCCTAACTCAGGGTAGGAGTGAAATCTGCAAAAGGCAGAAAAAGCTCAAAATCGCTGACTCGTTTGATTGGGAAACGGAGTGTGCGAGGAGGACAGCGTGGGTGATAGCCTCGCAGACGACAAAAGAATTGCCGAGGCAGCTTCCACAGCTCGTCATCTCAGACAACTACAGCCGAGAGAACGGTTTCAGCCTGAGACGCCATATCCCAGCAGGAATTTTCGTACGTCCAATAACTCCCAATTCGAGCAGAGGCCGCCAGGCCACGGACATCGGTGAGTACATTCTCTGTTAGACCACTACCCCATTTACAAACTGATTGCTCTTGTGAGTGAAAAAGGAAAATCTCTCTACCAGCAGCTCGTACTGTCCAGTTCACAAAATCCCCTGTTCCGTTCGTATTCTGACTGGCTCAAGTCACCAAGCTCAGCCCATCAATACAACAGCATGTCTCAGTTTCGTCAAGTCGTTTCCTGTGAGTTGTGTTTTCCTGTGCGCCGTCTGACTCAACACGAAAGTTGGTACTCTGTGGCGGATGCATCATTGTCTCAGCATGCCAAGCCGGATCCAGTATTTCAAGTCTGCGAGCATGCCCGACTTCCTGTTGGCTCCGATGCCTTCTCAGCATCATTGGCGGGTAAGCACCTGGACCATCTCCAAGCAATGCAGAATCGTGCGGCTCAAGCAGTGTATGGGTACCGCACACCCCTGCCATCAATCTGCTAGTGAAGTTTCAAGCTTGGTACCTACAGTGTCCAGAAGCTGATCTTCCTGGTTAGGCAGTAGCGCTACTCCCAAGCTAGCTTAACACTGCAAGTACTACTGTTTGTAGTACCAACCACAGGCTCTGTAGCTCTCTAAGGGTCTGTGCCCACCGCCAACCTGCACTGAGCTGGGAAAAAGGTGATATCGCGTTCCAAGGAGCTAGGCTCTGGAATGCATTGCCTAGCGAGGTACTTGTACGGGCCATCCCCCACCCTGCCCAATTATGCACTGCTACTATTCCACACAGCATGTTCCTTTGAGGTCAGACCTTGATGAGTTTTTAGGTGTGAAAGGGATGCACCAAAAGTACTGAAAAATAAAATGACATGCACACGAAACTTTCTGAAATTACTGTAACTACTACCAACAGTAGATCAACTAAGTCCACCCAGAAGAGACCAGGCAAGTATACAAAGAGGATAGCAACACCAGTCCCACAAATTACTGGTAACCTGTAGCAGGCATGGAGTCAAGGAACAAATCTCCCGACTTACCAACGAGTCTATCCAGCTGTCACCATCATCGTCATGGTCACACCCATCACCTTGGTGATCACCATCAGTGTCACTCTGGTCTGAGTTGGGCACAGTGGGGCAGTTGTCCTGCAGTGAACCAACAGTCAGGGTATGTACACCGGTATAATGGTGCAATGGCACGGTATGCTGGGACAGCATGCCTGGCTCACCTTGACCACACGTCTAGCATGAACTTCTTCTAGTACAACCTAGTGTACGAATGTTCACACTAGCACACGTGCCTGCATGCACATATGCACACACACACACACACACACACACACACACACACACACACACACACACACACACACACACACACACACACACACACACACTTGTACTTACTTGTACTTGCTCACTGCCAAAACTGGTCACGTGGGTCTCCCCGGGAGAAGGGAGAGAGACTTGTTACGTTTTCTTACTCTTAGTACTCCCTTGTGCCATTGTTCCAGCAGATGCTGCAGGTGTCGCTGACCTGCACAGTTTGTACGAGTACTTGTAGATTTATGCAGTGCGTGTCTACAGCTGTATTTGAATGTGTGCGTAGTGCACAGTTGCAGTTGTGCCCTAGGCCCTGTGTCTGTGATACGTGATTTGTGGTGCGTGTTAGCTTACACGTGGGAATGCTACGCGCTTTCATGTGACCTGCGTTACTTCCTTCTCACTGTACTTCCTTTTATGCATGTATCGCTGGCATATGCGACACTGGCCGGCCGGGCCGGAGTGTGTATTGGTTTTGGAAGCATGTGCCTTTTGTCCTGTGAGAGTTGTTCGCATGCACATGTTGCTGGCCGTGTGGAATGTTTTGGTTCTTGTTGTGTTGGACCTGTGCTCTAGATTCTACAAGTTTGTAGCTGTTGTGATTTTACTATGTTCCATGGGTCTGAATAATTGTGTTCTCCGGAGTGGAGTAAAACTGAACTGTGATTCGATTGTGTGCGGAAACCCGGTGTTGACGAAAGTGTGTTGACCTGGGCGCTGAGGAAAAGTAACATAAACTGGCACCTCCGACGGGATCCTTTTGCCTTTCCGTGGTTGCTGAGAGTCGTCGCCATGAGTGAGGAGCGGCGTATCAGCCACAGATCGACGAAAGGAAAGGAACCCAGGCGATATGGATTTTCTGGAAGTGAGCGCTCGAGTACTCGTGCCAGTCCTGGGAGCACTGAACTCGTAGAATTGGAGAGAGCTCGAGTGGCCAGAAAAAGGGCAGAGGCCGAAGTGCGAGTGGCAGAAGAGATTGCTGCACTGCAGGAACAAGTTCTGCAGAGTAAGCTAGCTGTCCTGCAGAAACGGCAAGCCTTGGAGCAAGCTCGTTCCGAAGAAGAATCTGCGCACGAGTCGGCGGCAGGAGCTAGCCCGTCGCCTCGTAGAGAAATTGCTTCGGACGGGGACGTGGTCTTCAAACGAAGTCGTGACGGCGCAAGTGCGACTCTGCGATCTTGTATGCCACCACGAGCGGAGTCGGACAGTGCAGTTACCGGTAGTAGGTTTACGACTGATCCTCCGTTACCACTCGCGCGCACCAGTGTTAAAAATGTGAATACACTGGTAGCAGGAACAGCAGCTGCTCAGCTATCGCAGAATGTCCTGGACGTCGTTGACGGTGTGTCTGAAGAGTCAGACCACTATGTGTCATCCAGTAGCGCCTCAAGTAGTGACACTGCTGGTGACTCTACAACTACTGGAACTACAACTAACGCCAGTAGTGGTGAAAGTGATAACAGCCACACTGATAGTAGTACTGTTAGTCACTATGGGCCTGCTTCCAGGCGTGTTGGTACACGTGCTCTGGCCAACGCAGGAGTTGCGTCCAGAGGCGGAGCTGCCGGCACTACCCAGCCAGTACATATGCAGCAGCAGCAGCAGCAGCAGCAGCCGCCGTCACAGCAGCAGCAGCAGCCGCCGTCACAGCCGCCACGGCAGCAGCAGCTGCAGCAAGTCCATGTGCTTGGTAACGCCGTGCGTCCAATGCTGCTGGAAGCAAGTGGACCGGCCCAGCCAAGCCCCGCTGCACCGAGAAGACTGATGACTGACTCCGTCCCCGGTCTTCCAAAGAAATCGGTGATATCTGCGATCCTCAGGCTGTAGTGATACCTGAAGGAACATCTCCGACACATCAGCAATCAGTGCCACAGTTCGCAAGGCATTCTACGTCGACGACATGTTGAAGTCCTTGCCTGACGACCAGAAAGCAATGCGTCTTCGGTCTCAGCTACAAGACCTCCTGAAGAAAGGCGGCTTCCATCTCCGGAAGTGGTTGAGCAACAGTGAAGCAGTGATGGAATCAATTCCACCGGAGCACCGCGCGCCGGCCACGTCTAAGTCCATAACGGCACAAGAGTCGTCTGGACAGCCCTCACAAAAGGCACTGGGCGTAACGTGGATGGTCAGCGAAGATTATTTCACGTTTCACTATCAGGAACCCACATCCGCTGCGTGCACGAAGCGCACCGTCCTCAGTCGCATGGCATCACTGTTTGACCCCAGAGGGCAACTAGCACCATTCACCATCAGGAGCAAGTTGTTGTTCCAGGAACTATGTCTTGCGGGGCTCGGCTGGGACGACCCACTGCCTGAAGAGACGGCGGTAGCTTGGCAAGAATGGTTTGCTGAGATGCCTAAGCTAACACAGCTACGCATTGATCGCTGTTTTCAAGATAGCACAACGTCGATGGGTCTGAGTGTGCACACGTTCACCGACGCATCAGAACGGGCCTACGCCGCTGCGTCATACGTCCGAGCAGAGCGACCAGATGGTACAGCGAAGGTTACCCTGGTGATGGCCAAGGCAAGACCAGCACCGATCAAGCGTCGATCCATTCCGATGCTAGAGCTGCAGGGAGCGGTCCTGGGTGTGCGTCTTGGGACGTACGTTAGCGAAGCTCTTGGTGTGAGAGCAGCCGACAGCCACTACTGGAGCGATTCCATGAATGTCCAGTATTGGATTCGATCACCCAGCCGAAAGTTCAAGCTGGAAGTCGGCAACCGGATATCGGAGATCCAACAGCAGTCTATGGCACGGAACTGGCGTCATGTTCCCGGAGTCAGAAATCCAGCTGATCTCCCCACCCGTGGGATGACAGTCACACAGCTGGCAGAGGAGAGCAGGTGGTGGCATGGACCAACGTTTCTGGCACAGCAACAGAGCGAATGGCCAGATCGCAGGATAGCTGTGCCGAAGGAGCTACCACAAATGCTCAAGACTCCTGAAATCACGATGACGGCAATGATGTCACCACCGTTGCGGCTAAGTCCAAACAACTATTCCTCGTGGAGCCGTCTTGTGCGGGTCACGGCTTGGTGCATGCGTGCCATACACGATCGCCGCAAGAGCCGACTGCCACAGCTAACGCTCAGCGACGCCCGTGTGAAGATTGCAATCAAGAACAGCAAGGAGGTTGCCGTGCCCGAGCTCTCACCAGCTGAGTTTGAAAGAGCGGAGCACTATTGGATCATGCGTGCGCAAGATGAGAGCTATGGTGAAGTGACGAGCACGCTGAGAAAAGGGAAGGAGTTGCCAAGCAGTGCCCCTCTTCTCAAGTTGCAACCGCGCATCGACGAACAGAGTGGATACCCCGTATTAAGAGTTAGTGGGAGACTGCGTACGGCTTACCACTTGGCATCTGAGTTTCGATCGCCAATTATTCTACCACCTCGACACCGAGTGACAGAACTGATCATTCGGAGAGAGGATGAGCGATGCCGACACAGCATTGGCACGAATCACATCCTGTCCAATCTCGCCGATCACTACTGGCTTGTGAAAGGCAAGCAAATGGTGAAGTCACATCGGCACCACTGCGTGGGATGTCAGAAGGTGTGGCGCAAACCAGCCACTCCCAGGATGGGTCCTCTCCCAGACCTCCGCACGCAAGGACCACTTCTGGCATTCGCCCGCACCGCTGTGGACTTCGCCGGACCATTTCTAGTGAAGAGAGGTCGAGGACGTACACAAGAGAAGAGGTATGTGGCAGTGTTCACGTGTCTGCAATCTCGAGCGTGTCACTTGGAGCTGGTTACCTCTCTCGACACGACTGGCTTCAAGATGGCCCTGACGCGATTCTGCAAGCGTCGCGGCACACCCGAGATGTTGCTTACTGATAATGGAAGCAATTTTGTTGCGACAGAGCGAGAGCTGAGGGAGGCAGTCGCCCAGCTTGACCATGCCGACCTCACATCGGAGTATGCAGGCCAAGGGATTGAGTGGAAATTCAATCCGCCTCGTTCTCCTCATTTCGGCGGCGTGTTCGAACGGATCGTGCGCTCCATGAAGCAAGTTCTCCAGACTGTGCTGTACAAGGCTGATTTAACTGAAGAAGAGCTCCAGACAGTATTGGTGCAGGCCGAGGCTCTCATCAACTCGCGGCCATTGACAACGCTTTCGGAGGAAAGTGAAGACCTGGAGCCGCTAACGCCTTTGCATTTCTTGGTTGGCCATTCGAGAGTTGCAACAGCGTTGGAAGCAACCCCGGAGGGGGGTCTGCATCGTCGCTGGCAGTTGCTTCAGGATCTGATGAAGCGCATTTGGAAGAGGTGGCTCCGCGAGATTGTTGCTCGAGCCAATTTGGAGACGAAGTGGCACCGTGATAGTGCATCGGTTACAGTCGGCAAAATCCTGATAATGCTGGACGAATCGCTCCCAAGGACTCAGTGGCCGCTTGGTCGAGTGGTCGCTACGTATCCTGGAAAGGACGGGAAGGTGCGCGTAGTGGACGTGAAGGTCAAAGGGAAGGTGTACAAGCGCAGCGTCCACCGCTTGGTGCCCCTAGATGTGGAACCGTCAGCAGTCAAGGTGACTCTCCCAGCCTCTGCTGAAGTCCGGCTAAGTGATCTCAATGAGTGACTGGCATGCTCGCCGTTGTTAATGCTGTGTATCAAGTTACGGTTTTGCCCAATAGCGTATGGGCATTAGATTCGCTCAGTTTTCCCACGTTCGCTCATGAGGGAGGGAATGTTACGTTTTCTTACTCTTAGTACTCCCTTGTGCCATTGTTCCAGCAGATGCTGCAGGTGTCGCTGACCTGCACAGTTTGTACGAGTACTTGTAGATTTATGCAGTGCGTGTCTACAGCTGTATTTGAATGTGTGCGTAGTGCACAGTTGCAGTTGTGCCCTAGGCCCTGTGTCTGTGATACGTGATTTGTGGTGCGTGTTAGCTTACACGTGGGAATGCTACGCGCTTTCATGTGACCTGCGTTACTTCCTTCTCACTGTACTTCCTTTTATGCATGTATCGCTGGCATATGCGACACTGGCCGGCCGGGCCGGAGTGTGTATTGGTTTTGGAAGCATGTGCCTTTTGTCCTGTGAGAGTTGTTCGCATGCACATGTTGCTGGCCGTGTGGAATGTTTTGGTTCTTGTTGTGTTGGACCTGTGCTCTAGATTCTACAAGTTTGTAGCTGTTGTGATTTTACTATGTTCCATGGGTCTGAATAATTGTGTTCTCCGGAGTGGAGTAAAACTGAACTGTGATTCGATTGTGTGCGGAAACCCGGTGTTGACGAAAGTGTGTTGACCTGGGCGCTGAGGAAAAGTAACAAGACTCAAAAGGAATCTTGGAAAGATGACTCAATTGGCCATTGAACCAACCAACGGCCGACACCCCCTGAAATCCCCAAACTAGGGTGGACTTGAAATGATCCCACTTATGGGCTCACCACACCTCAGTAAGTGGGTGAGGACAAGGTGCAGAAAAAGGATTGACGGCATCAGGGTATCCGTCCCGGGATCCAACTGCAGGTACCCCTGCCCCCAGTGAAGGTAGTACACACACACACACACACACACACACACACACACACACACACACACACACACACACACACACACACACACACACACACACACACACACACACGCGCGCGCGCACACACATGCACGCACACACATGCACGCACACGCACACACGCGCACACACACACACACACACACACACACACGCACACACACACACACATGCCCCGCCCCCTCCTCCTCCCACTCCACACAATACACTATGACATGTGTGGAAGAGGCTGAGAAAGCCCTACTTCTAGCTCACCTTCAAGCAACTGCGCTCTTCACAGTCAAGACGCTCCGATGGGTATCCATCCAGATCACTATCATCAGCACACAGTCTCCCAGTACCAGCAAACCCCATCTTGCACTACGCACATACGTGATGCCATAATTATAGCATACAAGGACAGGATGGGAAAGGAGACAAAAAGGAAATCTTACATCACATTACACTTCCACAATGGAGCATGGATGCAGCGTTCACAATGGAGCATGGATGCAGAGTTCATAATAGAGCATGGATGCAGAGTTCAGCATAGAGAATTACACCACACCTAGACAATAGACAATAGAGAGGTTTTGCATTCCGAATTTCGGAATTATTTTCGGAATGTGGCGGCTCTTCACAGTCAAGACGCTCCGATGGGTATCCATCCAGATCACTATCATCAGCACACAGTCTCCCAGTACCAGCAAACCCCATCTTGCACTACGCACATACGTGATGCCATAATTATAGCATACAAGTGTTGTAGTACGTTATTTTTGTGTACGTCGTGTGTACGTCATGTTGGTGCATGCGCGTGTTGCTGTGGTGGAAATGATGTCTTCGTCTTGAGTTCATCATGTCTTCGTCTTGCATCATGTCTTCGTCTTGCATCATGTCTTCGTCTTGAGTTCGTCATGTCTAGTTGTGTTTCTTCGTCGTGTCAATAAACAGTCCTCTAAATGTAGTTATCGTCGTCCATTTGTACAAGTGTGGAGATGGCACGGGACTGGGAGCAGGCAGAGAAAGCGAGTTACAACATTGGTGGCAGCGGTAATGGAAATTTGTAAATCTCAACTTCTGGATTCGTCCTGCGTGGCCTTCGCTCCCAGTTTCCGATGTCATCTCCAGTCGTCCTATCGTCACAGTTTTGTCCGTCTTGAAGAAGTTCGTCCGTCGTCCTCGTCCTTCATCATTCGTCTCTCCCGTCTCTTGGCAGTCGTCGTCACTGGTGGTCCCGGACACGACGTAAAACTGTGCCCAGAAGAAAAAACTGAAACAGAAAAAAAGAAGGATGGAAGGTGAAGGCTGCAGGGCGAGGATGTGGACGCTGAGCAGCGCTTTGAGATGGCGGACGACATGGCAACACGGCGTGAGGAGTTTCGTTGGTGAGAGGGTACGTGTGTTGTTGTGAACGTGATGAGAATGTGAGTTGTGTATTTTCTGTTCTCCCAACATTTTGTTCTTTATTAAGCGCGTGTGTTCTGTTTGTTTTTTGATTTGCTCTTCTATGAGGATAACTAGAGGCCCCCACAGAGCCAGTGGATTTTGTTCTTTTTGTTATTCCTATGATTTGTGCTCTCACATTTTTAGAATTTTTGCGTGATCGTGAGGTGGTGTGTTGAGTGAAGCATAAGTTAGAGTTTTGAGGTTATCAGTTCCCACACATGTGACAGCGATCGTGGCTGGTGTTCTGGGTGGGCGGACAGAGTTTTTAATAATCTGCAGTGCAGGCAGAGGTGTTTTATTTATGGGTGTGACTGGTGTGGTATGATTGAGTGATTTGTGTGATCTTTTCCTCTTTTTACTCTGTTTTATTATTAGAATCGAGGACGATTCTACTCTTGGGAGGGAGTTATGTTGTAGTACGTTATTTTTGTGTACGTCGTGTGTACGTCATGTTGGTGCATGCGCGTGTTGCTGTGGTGGAAATGATGTCTTCGTCTTGAGTTCATCATGTCTTCGTCTTGCATCATGTCTTCGTCTTGCATCATGTCTTCGTCTTGAGTTCGTCATGTCTAGTTGTGTTTCTTCGTCGTGTCAATAAACAGTCCTCTAAATGTAGTTATCGTCGTCCATTTGTACAAGTGTGGAGATGGCACGGGACTGGGAGCAGGCAGAGAAAGCGAGTTACAACACAAGGACAGGATGGGAAAGGAGACAAAAAGGAAATCTTACATCACATTACACTTCCACAATGGAGCATGGATGCAGCGTTCACAATGGAGCATGGATGCAGAGTTCATAATAGAGCATGGATGCAGAGTTCAGCATAGAGAATTACACCACACCTAGACAATAGACAATAGAGAGGTTTTGCATTCCGAATTTCGGAATTATTTTCGGAATGTGGCGGCAGCAGTCGAAAAAGTAGTCGAACTTTCGGAAATGTGGTGGCGAAAGTGCATGGATTTTCGGCTCTTTCATGTTTGGGAGTGCATATTTGAATTAGGGGTGAAACGGTTCGGGTAAGGAACCGGTTTTGGAACCGCCAGCTGAAAAGAATCGGGTACCCGTTCCGTCAAATTTCGAACCGAAACTCGAAAAATCTCGTTCTTCTACAAATACATGTACACGCCAAGTCTACTCAAGATTTTAAACGTCTTACCTTGCGATCCCCACTCTTCCAAAGAGTTATCTGGTCATTATCTTCTTCGCACTTGGACTCTCCGATGTCTCATTCTTGCTCGTAAAAATGTTTTTTCTAAAAAATAATTGTCGCGAACCCATTTTGTCGGTCTGGAGAAAAGAGTGCATGGAACCGATACCCGAACCGTGGGAAACAATGCTGGCATTCGGGTACCCGAACATGAAAAACCTGGAACCGTTTCACCCCTAATTTGAATACAAAAAAGTGTATTTTTCATGTTTGTATTTTTGCTTTCTGCTGCTTTCGATTATTTGAAAAATTTCCACGTATGTAGTTTTGATTTTTGCTGGTTTTGCTGCTCTCGCTGATCTCGCCATGTTGACTAATCTTCTCACACTTCATCACACTCTATCTTCCTTTGCCCTGGAGCCTACTAACAGTACAAGACAGTAGTTCGCCAACCTCGTCTTCAGCTGTTGGATCACTTGGTCCACCATCAGTCCGTCCTCGTCTTCGAACCGCACCCAAATTCAGTTTGACCTGCGCACATGGATTTGATCCTGCTCAACCCCTTCGACGCTCTCCATTTTGTTTTGCATGGCAACCCTTGGAAACGAAGTCGAATCAGATTTTCGGAATGCAAAACACTGAAAATACCGTTTTTCGGAACGCACTTTTTTCGGAAAAGCACAGTCGAAAATCATTCCGAAATTCGGAATGCAAAACCTCTCTAATGTACTCTACTTGCACAATAGAGAATGCATGCTGCCGACCCATAGTGCTGGCACCGACGGCATGTACAGCATCAACTTACACACAGGGCAAGCTAGTCCCCTCAGCTTACCTCACACGTATATTGTGCTACGCCGGTCATGGTGCAGGTGGCGTTGCTATGGCAATCATGTACACCCAGAGAGCAGTAGTCACCTGAGGTGCAGCCGCTGTATCCGTTGCCAAGGAAACCAGGAATGCAAGGACCACACAGAAACCCACCCTGTAAACGACAAGACGCAGTGTGCAACGAAAAGCAAATGTTTGTGAGAGAGGAAATAGGAACATACTGGTTGTGTATTGCCCCGTTATTCTCCCATCATTTTCTTCCTCCATAGCCTCCTCCTTGCCCCACCCACACACTACCACCATGAATCTTCATCATACATTCTCGCTCCACATACACCGAGATACCGACATAGACACAGACAATGGACGCAGGAGCACACAAAGGGAGGGGTAGTAGGCCGCAGCCAGATGTGGGACGGTCAGATTAATTTATCTCGACCGAGCCATACAAAACCGAGCCAGTCGGAGAAAAACCCCTCACGCCAACGGACGCATGGATGAGGGGAGAAAACGGGTGTATAAGCCCAAGTAGCAACATGGCAGCATGAAGACAGGCACAACATATCCACAGCCAAGAAAGAAAGGGAAGAAGATGCACAGACATGAAGGGTGGGAGGGTGGGGACACTGTTGAGACTCAAAAACTGACTGAAGAAGCCAGGCAAAAAGAAGAAGAACAACAACAAAAGAGAAAAATACCAGACGCCATATTCGCAAGAGGAAAATATTTTAGCGCGAGAAATCGTTTCTCGCTTATCTCGCTCCGCTCGGCCGGCGAGAAATATAACTTCATCGTGTAGGCTCGCTCCTCCATACCATTCTGTAGGTTCTCTGATTTCTCCTGTACATTTACCTAACAAGGTCAAATCAGTTACCTGTAGAGAGATAGAGCATTCACAGCTCCTATACTGATTAGCCATTCAAGTATCGGTTAGCAGACACTGACACGTTGCTACGCATAGCTACCTCAATGTACCTGTGTATTGTTGCAGTACGAGAGGGGATCACATCCACCATTGTTCACCAGACATTCGTTGAAATCAGAACAGATCTGGAGACAGTTCAACAGGGACAGTTCAACAGAGACACATAACCCAGATATAACACCTACAGTGTGTTCCATGTCCAGACTGTGCATGGCTAACAGGTACTCGAATAACGTTGGAACGTGATCATGATGCCCTCACTGGGCAGTTAGCAAGACGTTTAGCACGAAACATCAACAAATGATATGATACAGATACCAGCAGTCAAGGTTAGCATCAATGCTGTAACCGACCATAGCACGGTGTTCATTACACTACGCATTGAACAATTAAACTGCAAAATAAATGAGACAAGAGCGTAGGAATGCAGTCCATATTGGTGTTCATCCTGAACGGAAACTACTCCAAAGTTCCCAAAGTTGAAACTAGTATGCCATACCTGTTTATTGTTCATAGCATAGGTGATGCCTACACCATGAGATGTGATACCCCTGTAGCCCTCTGGACATGCTGTACAGTAGTAACCAGTGTTTGTGTTGACACACTGGCTAAGACTAGAGCAGGGCGACGCAGCTGTGCACTGACAACACACACAAGAAGAAAAAGAAGAAGACCAGATATGAACTCGGTGTGACGGAACGGTTCAATCAAAACTCTTACGCTCATGCCATAGTTATTTGGGAGTTTTCTTTCAAGAACTTTGAAGCTCCATTGTAGCCTACTTCACCTCCAATTCACAACACACGAACAGTCCTTGGCTGCACCAGGTACATTAATAATATTGTTCCAAACTTTCACCCAGGAGGTCATCATCAGGGATACAGGAGAAGATACAGAGATGGTTGATATAAGACAGTACGGGGACAGAATTCACACTGCTACAAGTAATCTGCAACAAGTTACAAGCTCGCACTAAGACATAAGACATAACAATGTGCGTGAGCATTTCGTCAAGTGCAATGTGGGCGTGAGACAGCGAGACAATACTACGGGTCGCGGTATTATGGTTATCCAAGGGCATGGCTGTCTGTAAAGAACTCACCTCATCAATGTCAGCACAGTTGATGCCATCTCCAGTCAAGCCCTCGGGACACTGAAGGCATTTGTAAAACGGGGCCACCCTAGGCGTGTTTACACACACCACGCCAGCACTGCATGGGTTCAGGGTCTTGCACGGGCCTGCAATAGCACAGTACACAGTACACACACACAGTACACAGTACACAGGCATGAGGTTAGAAAGCATAACGCTAAGGCACTCCAACTGAATCCAGACACATGACGACGTAGGATCAACCACCTTGCAGTCTTGCATGGGTCTGAAGTAAAATTGGCATTGCACGAAAAGCGTAGTTTGGTCTTCAGGCGAAGGGCAATTCCACAATTCATTGGTCAGCATTGTAGGCAGCAGAAGCAAAAACTTACTGTCACTCACTACCCACACACGCCTTATCCCAAAGCTGTGTCAGAGCACATGTAACCCCATCATACACTGGTCGTAGGTTCAAGTGCGCACATACATGTATTGCCTTGGCTACATGTACCTTTACAAGAATCAGCATAAACACAATGCAGGCCAAAGCTTACACAGGTCATCAGCTAGGCATGTATGGCAGACATCGCAGCTACCACCGGCTAAAGTTCCATTGCTGTACTCAGATGGATCGCACTGTCGACAGCCGTTCTTCCCCGAGGTGCTCTCAAAGCCAGCATCACAGCAGTGGCATACCGCATTGGACGAATTTCGTGAATAGCTATTCACCGGACAGGCATCACAAGAAACTGGGGAAAGATGAGCACAAATCAATAGAGACGGTACAACTGAATAAAGTTCAAGACAGCTCTAAATAGTATACAAAGAGCATTGATACTGTGTCATCGGGATACCCATAGCCACCAGTACTACTGATGGCCAAAGAATGACAAACGCAGCAATGCACCAGTCAGTGATATGGATTCGGGAGTTGAGTGTGTCATTCACCGTATGATCTGTAAACAGTTTCCTCTGGGACAAACATGTAATAGAACTCAAGAAATGAATAAGCTTCAGGCTCCTCACAATCAACAATAAAGTTATTGGTGGTGATCCACCTGCTCCACCTCATCCGATCTATTTCAGCAGCCTTGGACGTCAGTCGATTAAGAGTGCAGCGCTCGGTACGCAGGGTGCTGCGGGGCCGAGTGGTGTTGACGCCGAGAACTGGAGGCATTTTTGCGCTAGTTTCTCTGACGCCTCCCAGGGCCTTTGCGATGCACTAGCATCGTGTGCAAGGCGTTTAGCCTCCACGTACGTGCACCCAGCATCTTTGTCGGCTTTCACTGCGTGCAGATTGATAGCGTTGGACAAGCAACCCGGTGTCCGGCCGATTGGAATAGGTGAGGTCGCTCGACGCATTATAAGCAAGGCCATCCTCTCCGTCGTAGGCCAAGCCGTTCAGGAGGCGGTTGGGTGTATACAGCTATGCGCTGGCCAGGATTGCGGTATAGAGGCGGGAATACATGCGATGCAGCAGGCCTTTGAGCTGGATGACACCGAAGGAATTCTGATGGCGGATGCAAGTAATGCGTTCAACAGACTAAATCGACAGACTTGCTTAAGAAATGTTCGGCACTTGTGTCCATCACTTGCTACCGTTCTTATTAATACCTACCGTGATCCAGCTCATCTCTACGTGGACGGTGAAAGTATCCTGTCGCAAGAAGGGACAACACAGGGTGATCCCCTTGCAATGTACATGTACGCGTTGGGAATAATGCCCTTGATACGTTTGGCGGATGAGGCGGGTGCGGTGCAGTCATGGTTCGCGGACGATTCATCCGCTGCTGCTCGTCTTCGCAGACTCCGTCTATGGTGGGACATAATGGACAAGAGAGGACCGGCATATGGATATTACGTAAACCCAAAGAAATCGGTCCTTGTCGTCAAGGAAAGGTGTTACCAGGAGGCGACTGAATTGTTTCGAGACACTGGTGTAATGATAACGGACGAGGGATCACGATATCTTGGCGCAGCAATCGGAAGGGACAGCTTTCTTCAAAGCTATATCAAAACAAAGGTGGACGAATGGATGGGGGAACTGAAGAAGCTAGCAGTATTTGCACAAACCCAGCCGCAGGCTGCGTATTCTGCGTATGTGACGGGCCTCAGGGGTAGATGGGCGTTCCTCTGTCGTACCATGAAGGTACCCGAACCCATGTTCCAACCGCTGGAGGACATTGTGAAGTCTGAACTGATTCCCGCCTTAACTTGCCGTGCACCCCCAGGCGACACCCTCCGACGGCTTATGGCTTTGCCGTGTCGTCTGGGTGGGCTCGGTTTGATTAACCCTGTGTCCCTATGCCAACAATACGACTCGTCGGTTCGGATGACCAACCCTTTGTCTCGGAGAATCTTGTCAGGGGATGGCTCCATCGGTGACTCGGTAGTGTTAATCAGATCGGCCAAGAGAGACGCCAAGGCATCTTCTCGACGTCATCAGAAACTGGAATTCGACGCGATATCGGGCAGTGCGTCGGAGTCGCTACGACATGTCATAGACGTCGCGAAGGAGAAAGGGTCGTCGAGCTGGCTGACGTGCCGTCCACTTAAGAAATATCATTTTAATTTAACAAAGGGAGAGTTTTGGGACGGACTCTGCCTCCGTTACGGATGGACACCGGCCAGGGTACCGTCACACTGCTCTTGCGGCCAAGAGGCAACTGTCGCGCATTCCCTGTCGTGCCCCTATGGAGGGTTTCCCTCCATTAGACACAATGGTATTCGGGACGTCACGGCCCGGCTGCTGGACGAGGTGTGCACCAGTGTGTCCATCGAGCCCTTGCTGCAACCGCTGACGGGGGAGCGTCTTCGCTACCGGACCGCAAATGTGGAAGACCGTGCCCGGTTGGATGTCGCTGCCAATGGTTTGTGGGGCAGTCGTTTTGAGCGTACACTTATTGATATACGGGTTTTTAATCCTCACTCACGCTCAAATCGATCTGCACCACATACTATTGTGTATCAGCGACATGAAAAAGAAAAGAGAAGGCACTATGAGGAGCGGGTGAGGCAGGTTGAGCAAGCCTCCTTTGTTCCGGCGGTCATGTCAGCCAGTGGCGGAATGGGTCCAGCATCAACAGCACTGTACAAACGAATTGCTCATCTGTTGGCGGAGAAGAGGGGTGAGCATTACTCTCATGTTATGGCATTTGTTAGATGCAGGATTTCCTTCAGCCTTCTGAAATCCTGTATCATGTGCATTCGCGGTTGTAGGCGTTTAAATTTTGGTTTGAAATTTGCACCCTCCTGCGGAGCCCACGCTGCTTTGGCAGTGGCGGAGGCTCGCTTGCCGACGTAACCGTCGGAGATCATCATGAACAATGGACTGACTAATTATTCACTTGTCCTGTCTTTATAAATAACATGTTATTGCATATGTTCTTGGTTTAGTTTTTGGCCTTTTTCGTGCTTTGGAGTTGATAACATTTTCCTCACTGTCAAAAAAAAAAAAAAAAAAACAATGAATAAGCTTCAGGCTCCTCACAATCAACATCCGCAAAGCTCTAAATGACGTGAAAGAGCTTTCAGGATATGGATTGTGAAGAGCCTAAAGTGGGTTCCTTTCTCAAGCTTTATTACATGATATGTGTCTCGGGGAAGAGTTTGCTCAGCTGTGTAACCAAGACTGAACGCAAAGCACTGTGTTACAGCTCCATTGTACGTTCAGTTATACCTTGGACATACCGTATTTGTTGGAGAACGTGCCGGGCCCGCACGCACGCCGAATGCCGTTGAAACAGGCGTGCCCCTCAGGGCACTGTAGACAGGTTGGCTGGCAATGCTACATCGGGTAGCATTGGTGACACGGTCAATGGTGGTGGTCGTTGCCATAGTCAACATGGCGGCAGCGATCCCAGCATGGATGGACAGAACAAGAAAAAATCATGGAAACATTGGAATGATGCAGAATCAAACTGACTGGTCTGCCGTTGGCACATGAAGAAGAGCCAGATCAAGCTACTTGATAACTGCGATGTGAATACCACACGCATGCCATGTAACACTGCACTGATCCACTGGACAGCTGCACTCGGCGCTTACCGTGGTGGTGCAGGCATCTGCATAGGTCACCTGTGCTTGCAGGCCAACGCTCTGTAGTCCGCATGGTGATGCAATCCCACCTTTGCAGATCTTAGCAGTATAAAACATTCCAGCATAAACAGACAGACAGAATTCACGTTTGCACCACTCTAAAGCCAGAGGCAAACTAGTATACTCCTACATCTCCTTGAACAGCCAGTTTTCCAACACTAGGCATCATCAAGAGGAATCAAGAGTTCCACTAAAAAATTCTCTTCTTTGCCTCTAAACGAGATCTTTGGGATAACATCAAAAGTTCAGAACCTGAGCACTGAATCAAATGGTCTGGGTCCGAGAACGCAGAGATATAGCGTAAAGTGTCATCTTCGTCCACAAGGCTTTTTTCAGAAGAAAAGACACAGTTTCAGTACAAATTTCAGTAAAACTCCCCATTTAGTAGGGCGTTCTCCTCCCATTTCGGTAGAGGTTCGCAAATTTGATTGGGAATATAGGACAAACGGAGCGGTGCTGCTTCCTCGGACAAACACCCTTCAGAAAAAAAGACTTCAGGTGGTGATTTTCTTGATTTTAGGCCGTCCTTGTTCTTCGAGTAAGAGAGTACAGTCAAATCTCATTAGGACGAACACTGATAAGGCGAACTTTCCATTAGTACGAACCAGGGCCAATCCTATGGTTGGCCAGGCATCAATTCAAGTCAAAATTATTCATTTACGACGAATTTCTGTACAGCGAACGTTCGCGAAGACAAACTAATTTCAAGTGTGATTTGAACAAAGTCAGTGCGGCCATGTACATGTAGTACCAACTTTCGGTCCACGAGCGTGCGCGTGCGCTGGCTGCCTTTTTTCTTCTTCTTTTTCAATAGTCGAGGCCATATTGTACGTACAGTGCAAATTGCGTGTTTTGAACAAAATCAGCCCGTTGAACGAACTTTCGGCACAGTTGTGATTCATTGCACATTGTCATTGTACTTACCTGTTTCTGGCTGGTGCTAAGAATAAAATGCTTCCCATGTACCACAGCATGCACCTTCACGTAAATACAATCCATATGATATGCATATCGATTTTTTTGTCAGATCTGGATAAGAAGAGCTCCCGATAAGACAAACGAATTTGTTCAGTCCCTTGAAGTTCGTCCTAACGAGGTTTGACTGTAGCTTAGTCAGTCGTCTCCATGAGTAACAGCAAAGCACATGGTAACTTCCTGAGTCGTACTCTAGAGTAGCTCATCACTTACCCAACCACTGGGACAGGCTGAACACGCTGATGACTTGCCAAAGCTATGAGTGGTCATTGGCACACAGCCGGACGTTTCAGCAGCACTACGGAATCGCAGCACAGGTCCAACACTGATGCTGGTGCTCTGGCATCCGCACAGATAACGTAGACCATCTCCGGGGCAGAAGAAACCAGCCGTACATGTTTCACAGCTGCCAACTGTAACAGGAAACATAGACCAGATACCATAATATCATTGTGTGTTGGTATGTAGAGCTTTGGTTGTGCTGGAGTGAATTATGCACACCACGCATGGGATCATATCTCTTGCAGATGCACAAGGAGAGCACAAGGCAGCTATATTGATGTTCATGTAACGTACAGTGTTTTGTACTGTGCTCTGTGACAAGTGTCCACACAATCGTATAAGCTTCAAGAAGAGCCACCTACCCTCTGTGATGAAGTAGTGACTAAACAGGACGCTCAAAGTGATGACATGCTGACTGCTCGGGGAGCGTTGAATGGAGAATATGCCGTCCTCGCACACACCGATTCCTTGTACGGTGACATTCGCTTCTGCCCTCCTTGCTGGCTTGCCATTATCAATAGCCTGCACTAGAACAGTGACTGTTGTCACCTTCCCCTGGTGGCTACAGCAAACACCCATCACAACACAGTTACAAGGCCAAGTAAGAAACGCCACTTGCCAAGCCACATGCACAGCAACCTGCGGGTCCCTGCACTCTGATGAAGGCTGAGCAAGTCCAAACCTGAAATATACACAACTTGACAAGATGGGGTGTTCTATACCACCGCCATGTGCTGGACTCAGAACATTCGAACAGCCCTAGCCATGGTGTATCTACTCAGGTGAATAAGAAAGACCAGTCTAAGCGCGCAAGCCTGCACTGATGTACACAGCATATCTCCCTTACCGGTAGTCCGATGCAGTTGGTGGCTTGACTTCGTACATGACCACTACACTGCTACGGCCTTCATCATTGTCTACATGCACCACACACACACACACACGACACATAAAGTCAGCAGAAGGAAAAAACAGATCAACTGAAGGTTCTCTAAATCAGTAACAAGGATCACTGGTACTGAACGAATGCACACAAGCCATGCAACAATTCTGACATTATTGAAATGTGGACATATCAGCAAATCAGGCCCTAACACGACTCCACCGCAAAACTGAGTTCGCACCTATCATAGTAGCAGAGTAAGAAACAAGCACACTCATTGCATACTCAGATAAGAACTCCTACTACTAAATTCCCCAAAACAGATCCGTACCTATTAGTATGAGTTGAAGGAGTTCAGTTCCATCACGCCGATGACGGCCTCCATCGATCCCACTCACAGAGTAGGATGGGCTGTCAAAGTACAGCGCGGCGTCAAGTTCATTTCGAACAGAAATCTACCACACCAAGCATAGTGCCGCGCAGCACATGTACAAATGAATTGCAACGGAAAACAAAGATGGCTGTATATGGTTGGTTACCTTCTAGATCTAACACCATCCGGCACTGCACAAGACTACAATATGAACTATTTGCATTGAGAAAGGTCACATTGACCATTACCCCAATGCCACTTCTCTAGATGAATGTCTAACCCGAACTCTTCAGCACCAGGCCATTGGACTATCCACTTACCACAGCTGCTACGGTCACCGTGACTGTATCCCCAGTACTGGATGTTCCTGTCAGTAGCACCTTGAGTATGTAGCTCTCAGCTACCTCATAGTCCAGTGAACTGACTAGCGTCACTGTACCAGAGGTGGCGTTCACAGCAAACTGATGTATTTTCGAAACCGAAGAGTCGACAGTGGCTAACGAGAATGCAATGTCTTTGGCCGAGTGCAGCACGTAGTCAAGCGACGGTACACGGACATCGAGCAGAGTGGTGTTGACAGGAGAGCGCTCAAGGAAACGCCCGGTCTGGGTTGTGGATACAAACACAGGTGTGGTTGCCGACGATCCATCCGCTGCTTGGTACGTCACGGAAATGGATAGGGAGGAATTGCAATCGATGCGATTTGCAAAGAACAACTCAAACCGGAGTGATGTGTTGTGCTGTGAAACAACGCATAAAAACAGTCCAAAACAGCAATAAGTACTAGTAGCACTAAACACATCACCGACTCCAATAAGGCTATTTCTTCCATGCTACCATAATCAAGATATACATGCATCATTAATGGTCTGGTTAGGCCCTTACCTTCAGGGTAAATGCGACCTCAACTGATGCTGCATCTCCAGTGTTTTGAATCCTCACAATTCCTGCAGAAATATACGTCGAGATAATTCCATGAGCAGGAATCGAAATCAGCTGCCGTCTTGCCTGGTTCAACGCCACTTTCACCCGGAGTTGCATCTCCAGTATGCATGCACTTTGCAAGTACAGTCAGACCTCGCTTAACGGCACACATCTGTTTTCCACAAAATTATCCGGATAGGCGAGGGAACCAGATAACTGAACACACATACTGTATATGCATGTGGCATATCAAAAGGAGTGGCATTGTACATACATGTATATGGGTCCTATGCACTACAACTAGCGTGCACAATAATGTAAAACAAGCGAGAAAAATGACAAGTGCATGGGAACTGAGTGCTATCCACATGCATCCAGCAGATCAAGAACCTCATTTGCTTGTACAACTCCCTGATTCTAACTTCTGCAAGCCACATGCAACCGGATACAACGAAGCTTTGTGTACACATTTCAACCAGTTTGTACACATTTTCAACCAGTTTGTACACAAAATCATGCACCGGTATGCGGATCGCGAGGTCTGGTTATGTTGTATGTGTGACATATATGCTGCCCATCGCCGAAGCGATGATAGCGAACAGACATGTTAGACATAGCAACTTGTGCTGGGATTACACCATTCAACAGCTTGCAAGGCTGATGAATTGACCGCCACTAATTTTAGCCTGGTATCCACCACACAACTGATTGAAGTGGGTTTTTCTGGCCAGTAAATCCCTATTGTTTCTTTTTCATTTTTTCTTTTTTTTTACACACACACGCCACACCACATACTCCGGCATACACTGGCTGTTGGTAACCACCCAGGAGAATGAAAGAAGAGCTAGGAGAATGAGAAAGAGAAGAAAGATGTGTGCGACCATAATCACCGGGAATTGAACCCGCAAACTCTCGATTGGAAATCGACTGCACATACCACTGCACCACATGGGACACACACACACACACACACACACACACACACACACACACACACACACACACACACACCCACACCCACCCTCAAACCCTGAGAAGCTGCTTTATACGTAGATGTGATAAGGCGCATGCATGCCTGGCTGGCTGGCTGGCTCGTCGACGGTTTTGCATGCTTGGCGTGCTGGACTAGACGTCCGAGAATGTGAGCTCTCTTTCCTTGTCCTTCAGTTCTTTCATTATTAGAATAACCATACGAACTGTGTAATGCGGTGTGTGGGCCCTTAGGGCCAGACATAACAATTGGCAACTCCAGATTAGAAAGTTTCGAAACTGGGGATTTTGACGAGTATGTAGAGAGAGTCCATTTTCATTTTCTGGCTAATGGCATTAGCCAAGTCGTTGCAGCTGATGCAACTGAGACAGTACATGCAGCGGCAGACAAGGCAAAGTGCGTTGTGCTGATTAGTCAACTATCTGGGCAGGTTTATTCCACGTTTAAAAATGTGCGCTTCCCAGATGAGCCAGGGGAGAAGAAGTTCGAAGAGCTGTTGAAGCTCCTCTGTCATCACTTCAAGCCCAAGATCAGTGTAGTGCCTGCCACCTATCAATTTCAGAAAACCCTGCAGAAGGAGGGCTAGTCTGCGATGTTCACGGCTCGATTGAAACGCGCAGCCATGGACTGCAAGTTTGAGGCTTATCTCGACAGGGTCTGACGTGACTAGTTCATAACTGCGATCGGTTCTACCAGCACAACGAAGGAAATCCTGGCAAAAGCTGAGGAGACGACAACACTTCAGCAGGTTGTCGACATGACCATGGCTCATGAGACAGCTTTCCACGAGTCTGAGAAGTTTTCAACACAGGTCCATGCAGTATGCGGAGAGCCGGGACTCGCCGATAATGTCACGTTCAAATCTGACAAGCCCTGTTTCCGCTGTGACAAGATGGGACATCGACCGGGCGAGTGCCACCTCAAATCTGCGAAGTGCCGAGCTTGTGGCAAACTGGGACACATCGAACGAGACTGCCTAAAGAAGAAAGCGGTCAAGTCCGTCAAGCATGTCGGGACAACATCAAACCCCGATGAGCTTGTTCCCTGTAATGATTCTGTGTTGATGTTGAATGTGAATGCCACCATGAGCGACAGAGCTGTAGTACCGTGCACTACGTCAGGGATCCCTGCCCTCCCATGTCATGAAGAAGGCCTTGGCTAAATCAATCCCAACACTTTGCGCGTACAATTCCAGGCATCGCCAGAGACTACCTCGGCGCTCGTCTGCAAGATCCTGCACCAGGACACCCGGGTAGGCACTGTACTGGATATGATACACTCTACCAAGAGAGACGTGTTGAGTCACGTCCGCAGATCCGCGAACAAAGCAGTCAAGGATTCCTCCTGACACAGAACAATGAAATCCAGTTCTCTGCTCGCTGCCGTGCATGGAAAAGAACGTCGAAATTTTGAACGGCCTCTCCCGCCTGGAAAGTCTTTCGCACGACAAGGAGACTTCAATATATCTTACATCGAATTAGAGCTTTTGAGCTTAGGTATCTGCATAAGTTGCTTGGCATCAAATACTACCAGGGCCGCCGGAACCGGTCCGCTTGGTCCAGTTGTCACCGGACAAACTCTGGCTCAGGCCACCCCCTGGGATTCGTCTAAAACCGGGGAGAAAAAATGTTGGGTACATGACTGATTGTATTATCGATCATGCATACATTTGCACATTTCCGAACACGGTGTCCTCCAGCTTGTTTCATGCTGTCAAACTATCAACATATGCTCCCATATACTATAGTAGGCCATACATTGTACAGGTGTACATGCACCCATAGTAGGCTATAGGCCATACATTGTACATTGATACCCATGCATAATTATTCCCTGTAGTGGGCTCTGAAAACTTGTGAAAGGGCCACATTCTGCTATTTCTGACCGGATTTTTCCAAAAATGCCGGCAGGAGATCCCCCGGACCCCCCCCCAAACCGGACCAACTTCGCCCGATTTCCAGAGGGCCTGCCTACCATCATCGCACAAATGAGTCAGATCTCCAGGAAGGCAAAAATGCTATTAAAAAAAATGCTATTAACCCATCCACATGCCTTGATTCAACTGTTAAGCAGTGGTATGGTCATGTAGCAAGGCATCCTGACAGCTACTCGCACTATTTCTTGGATGGAATGGTGCCTGGATCAAGACCCCGTTGCCGGCCTAGTCATAATTGGTTCACCAATATCAAAGACTGGACCCATCAATCATACAACTCTCTCTCTCTCTCTCTCTCTCTCTCTCTCTCTCTCTCTCTCTCTATCTATCTATCTATCTGTCTATCTATCTATCTATCTATCTCTATCTCTCATTGCTGCTGATCGGGATAAGTATAGGCAGCTTTTCAATTATTCCATTTAGATTTTAGATTGCATGTACAGTAGTCCTGCAGGAGAGAAGAAGGATTAGTACAGACAACACACTGATAGGATCTAAACTCACCGTGTGAAATGGCATTGCTGAAATCCACAGTGCTTTCCACAGTAGCATGAACACCACCTAGATCAACAACCAGCTGTTGATCAAGGTACATCCACGCAGTGTGACTGGTACGGATTGTCATGCGACGCAGTTGGCTTAGCGGAAACACCGTCCTCAATACGCCAGTGAACCTGTCGAAGGCAAGAGAGAACGGGCGCATTGGCACATCGTGTTCATACGTGTGAATACCTCATAGTAAGTGCCGTGACATCCATCATGCCTGTGCTGGCCCTTTCCATCTACCACACGCTCTAAGTCACCATAGATGCACTTCACTGAGTGGAGTGTCCGGTGGCGCATCACCTTTTAGCCTATGAAGTCACAGGCCAGGGATGTGTTCTGCCATATCGGACAGTGGTAGATACCAGCATTCACCAAGCCTAACATAAGAAGTGGGTGGTAGAGTGAGGTAGGAGCTACAGTGATGGCTAGCGAAATTCGACTTCGTGCACATGATTATAGTAGCACTACTTTCAATGCAAAGCCAACCATGGACCCAGTGGCTTGTTGCTAGGATGTACCAGCCTTGGAGCTGCTAAGCAGCAAATGAGGTGGCACTTCATGAATCCCATCACTGTTGCTCAATGCCACAATGTTATGATAGTATAGCTACACCATCTCGGTCACACCTCTTCCATTGCGCGAAATCACGCGACACCTGTACATTTTCGATCTGCGGGATGAAGATGACGACGGCCATGCATCAGGTATCAGGGGGTAGTAAGATACTGGTATATTACTACTCCACGCCTCAAATCGTGCTGTCAAGCGTATGCGGGGGAGTGTAGCATGCCATCCCTTACACTTTCCAGCTCAGGGTTACCCTCGCTACCAATGGACGAAATTTCAGGGTCACAGCTTGCGCAACGGCTTTGTCCTGTGCGAATGGCCACTCGACATACTCAGCACAAATTTTCTATTGCATGCATGCACAAAATGTTCAACTTTCGTATTTTTGGCGACTTTACCACCGTCGTGGAGGCTGGTTGGTGAGGAGCAGGTAGCCATCCCTTGTGGAATCAAACACATGGTTCCACAGTGTGGCTGATTCCGCAAGAGCCAGGTCCATACGAGGAACATTCGCTTTGTCTTTTGCCATCGAAGTAAGTCACTTTTCTTGTTCTCAGTGTTTTTTACGTTCAACGTTTCTGAGATTTTTGAATTATTCACTTTTCATTCTTTCATACTTTATTTCTTCATGTTCACTGCCTCACTTGCCTTCTGATCTAGAGAATGTGACGGAGGTGACTGTTGGTTACTGCCTGGTATAACGGTTGTCGTGCTGTTGCTGTATTTCCGTCCTGCTCGCGACGTTGTAGATCACAAACAATTTGAAATCACATGAATTGTACTTACCGTCGTGCGTGCGGTATTAGGAAACACTGTGCAGATTAGATCGTCGCAATGTATCTATATGTGTGTCTGGTCATCCTGTGCCACGCAAGAACTCCAACCAGACGCATTCGTCCTCGGCCCTGTTGATCGATTGTCCACTCGTCTTTCCTTGAAGAACGATCGATCAAAAATAATCGAGCTCGAGGACTTTTTGCAAAAAAACGGCTGAAAAAAGGAAGAAAAAAGGGTGCTCAGAATGAGATTCGAGTACACAACCATGGTCCCAGCAGTTTATGTGGATGTCGCTCATAGATGCGCGATTTCGCGCAATGCAAGCGGTGTACGTGTGACCAACACTTTACAACTATTGTTTTGCAGACTCAGCTACACATTACTCAGCTACACATCACTGCTAGCCTGTAACTGACATCAGTAACTTACTGACTAGTGCGAAAGAACCCTGAGCAGAGAGATCCTGTGCCATTGTACCGGTCTGCTGGGTAGAACGATTCGTCCGTGAATGTGTAAGTCGATTCACTTCCGGCCAATTTCTGATTGAAACGCAGCTGAACGGAACCTTCTTCATTCACACCTTCAGATAGCACAAGGGACAACGAAAGATGACAGATTGTGGGCAACGGGAATACACTCAAACGCCTCTAATCCGGACGCCTCAGATACAGGCACGTCTCTCTACCGGGCACCTTCAGCTTCAGTTCCTATGGCAAAAGCTTTGAATTTTTGGGGGGGGGGGGGGTTGAACTTTTTTCGTATGCGCAAGTGCTTATTAGTCACTGCCAACCTGTGAAATCCACACCTTTTTATCAATGGATTCTCTCTGTACCCTGAACATGTGTAATGCGTGCCAAATAAACTTCTTCAAAAGATGATCTGATACATGGCAGATGAGTTATCCTGAGATACGGGCAAATCTGATATACGGGCAGTGCCCGGTCCCAAGGTGCCCGGATAAGAGACGTCTGAGTGTACTGGAATGTGCCAAGAAGAAGTACCCTGTTCCATTACTGCTCACATGTTTCCAGTGCAGAGCCAAAAACTTCCAAGAGTGAGCAGCCATTGGGATCATACTCTGTTTAGAAGCACTAGGTAGGCACAGGCCTCATCTCATGAACTATTGAACTGACTCATCACCAAAATAGCTATCAATTACCTCGCTCTGTCTTGAACCACTGCAAAAAGGTCTCCTCGCTAGTTATATCCCGTGCGGGACCAACAACGCTAGGGACTCGTGAATTGTTCAGTGTTGGTGAACCACTGCTTGGCAGCAGTTGATTGCTGACAACTTCTAGAAGGCTTGAAAAGGGTTGTTTGCTGAAATCAGGATGTGGTGAGCTGAAGATGGGGAAACACAGGGAAACATACAAAGTGACCTGTTAGGGTGATACTTAGCACCAAAGATATAGGTGTCCAACAGGATCGATCTACGAGTTCTAGAGGAAGAAAGAGAGATAGAGTGAGTGAGCGAGTGAGTGAGTGAAAGAGAGAGAGAGAGAGAGAGAGAGTGAGTGAGTGAGTGAGTGAGAGAGAGTGAGAGAGAGAGAGAGTGAGTGAGTGAGAGAGAGAGAGAGAGTGAGAGAGAGAGAGAGAGAGAGAGTCACCCTGTTGTAAGGCTACTATCAGCCCACAGTACTGGTACAGTCCATAGAAAGGGTTTAGCACCCAAAAAGGTATACCAACTCAGGCCCATAGGAATAGTTCCAAATACACACATGAAGGAAGTGGCTGAATACACCGAGTCGCTCACGGCAAGCATGGTTAAATCACACAATCCTCTGTCACTCACTTGAAATATCTCAGTGTCACATCGGCCAGAAAACAGCTACCATTGCGGCAATCATCTGGAAACAAAAGCAGCAAAGTCAATGAGCTTTGTAGCTCAGTGCAGCTGCTCACAGTAGCTAGCAGATGTAGTGCATTACAAAGATCAAGAGAACTATAGAGAATGATGCATTCCTGCAATGGAAAACCTAGATCAATACTACCTGAGAACAAACGGTAGCGCAGGCCCAGCCAAAGCAGATGATGGTTGGTCCGGCCATGCATAAAATGATCACGGCACACACTTGCTTGTAGTCATTCATATATCCCATCACCTCACACTGCGCTCTTGGCCCACAGTGGCCACGCCATAGCGAGGAAATTTGTTCCTGGTTAGGGGCCGTTCCTACCCCACTGTAACAACCGAAAAAGGATGAAACATTGGCCTAGCAATCAGGTGCTGCAACATGCCTTACCAATGACTGTCAGATAGACATTTGCTGAAGTGGTCCTGACAGGGCTGGTTGCAATACATGTGTACAAGCTCTCGTCACTTCCCAGAACATTGCTGAAGAGAAGGGAGCCGTTCACACCCTGTGTGAGTCGTTGATGAGTGGACAAATCTGACGCATTGAAGACCGTCAGCAACAAACGGCTGGCATCCTTGTACCAACGCACTTCGGGTGCTGGATAGCCAAACACTTGACAGTTGACGTGAAACTGGGCACCTTGCAGCACCTGTTGGCTTGGCGTGATGGCCACAATGCTTGGTGGGACTACATAGAGGAAACAGAGGAGACAGAGGAAACAGAGGAGACAGTTTGAGAAGCTACATGACTGTAGTATCACCACACATTGCCACAAATGCACTATGCTCCAGAGTGATTCCCATGTTTGGTCTTATATGTTGGCTACTCCGTGGTTCTCATTGCCATACCAAAAGAGAGTACAGAAAGAGTGTTGCAGAGGGATCACGGATTAAATTTGATACAGTTATGGTTTGTAGGAGATTGAGTAGCACAGTGTGCACAAAAATGTGCCACGTGCGGTCTCAACATCATTATGATCTCACCGCAAAAGACGAATGCTTCGGCTGCCTGGCCAACTTGAATATTGGTGTAGTTGGTTGGCAGTGCACAACGAATCATATCTTCGAACGGCAGTACGGCACTGTTCAGGCGGTTATGAAGCCAGAATATGCTGCATGTACACTCCCACGGGTTGTTGTACAAATGTCTGGAAACAAGCCATGATACAAAACACACCCACACATACACACACACACACACACACACACACACACACACACACACATACACACACACACATACACACACACACAATCATAAACACAGCATAGCCGTTCACTCTTTGCCATAGAGTTTCAAAGACACACACAAAACCATTGTTACCAACAGGTTTTAAACAGCAAGTGAAATACCTCAATCACATCTGTTTAGACCTTTGACAAGTTCCACTGTGCACACAACATCATAAAGTGTGAACACTGGGGTCATACAGAATACATGACATTATACATACAGAGCAGATGCAGAGATGTTGTTGTATTCCTCTGGTAACGTTGACAGCCGATTTCCATCAAGTCTCCTGCATGGTCAACACAGCACATCATACACAATTAAGCACCATGGCATCCGAAAATGGCAGTGGCATCAATTCCTGTCTAAAAATAGAATGAAACCATAATCAGTATGCCAATGGAGCTCGGGATGTTGCCAAGCTACCCCCCCCCCCCCCCCCCCTCCTCTACCAAAGAACCCGGTACAATAGAGAATCAATATGTGACACATTCCCATCTGTGAAAAGAGAGCGAGGAGAGAGAGAGAGAGAGAGAGAGAGAGAGAGAGAGAGAGAGAGAGAGAGAGAGAGAGAGAGAAAGGGAGGGAGAGAGAGAGAGAGAGAGAGAGAGAGAGAGAGAGAGAGAGAGAGAGAGAGAGAGAGAGAGAGAGAGAGGGGGAGAGAGAGAGAGAGAGAGAGAGAGAGAGAGAGAGAGAGAGAGAGAGAGAGAGAGAGAGAGAGAGGGAGAGAGAGAGAGAGAGAGAGAGAGAGAGAGAGAGAGAGAGAGAGAGAGAGAGAGAGAGAGAGAGAGAGAGAGAGTGGGAGAGAGAGAAGAGAGAGAGAGAGAGAGAGAGAGAGAGAGAGAGAGAGAGAGAGAGAGAGAGTGAGGGAGAGAGAGAGAGAGAGAGAGAGAGAGAGAGAGAGAGAGAGAGAGAGAGAGAGAGAGAGAGAGAGAGAGAGAGAGAGAGGAGAGAGAGAGAGAGAGAGAGAGAGAGAGAGAGAGAGAGAGAGAGAGAGAGAGAGAGAGAGAGAGAGAGAGAGTGGCACCATAACGACATGCCCAGTCCATATTCAGTACTCATTGAGCTGGCCCATGGCCCACACTTACAGTTCACTGAGATCAATTACACCCGGGAATAGGCCTTGCGGTAGAGTGACCAGACGATTTCCATGTAAATGGCTGTGAAAGGGTGCATAACAATATGCATATGTAGACATCTATTACCCTTCGGAAGATTAACCAAACAGGAATGAACGAATGCATGAATTCATGACACAGCGGTAACCAGCGATAAACTGGCAAGTCGTTGGATGCATGGAGTACGGCATGTTATGGTTAGTGACTGCTGTGTCACACTGTTGACCCGCAGGGCGTACATTGTGCTGACTACACCATACTCTCTCGGCTTCATAAAATACAAAATTGAACAAATAGATAGCATAATAACAACAAGTTTTTCTCCCTGGCCCCTCCAACTCTCTGCATTCACGACTTACAGCGTTTTCAGACGTGGTAGTCCTGTAAAGGCCTGAGCGTGTATAGAGTGTAACTGATTGTGATTCAAATATCTGCAAACATTGCAAGAAAGCATAGGATTAACGCCAACAACACACACTACAGCATTCCAAACGATGCTCAGCGTTATCAACTACCGTATTTCCCCGAATGTAAGTCACACCTTTTTACACTGAACTTCAAGGGCAAAGAAGGAGGTGTGACTTACAATCGAATGTGACATCCTACCTACTCGACTATGTTGGAACAATATGGCTCAATCCTGAAAAGGTGGGTGCGACTTATAATAATTAATTGGGGCCTATAATCCGGGAAATACGGTTTTGAGGCAAGTAGCAGCATTTGAAGGCTTGAGACTATTCTTGAACAGCAAAGTGAGGTACAAATATAACAGGGCATGGGTGTAGCACAGTGAGCAGCTCAAGAGGTAGTACAATGTACACACGGGTACTCACAAGTTAGTCAACTCTCCGGCACCAAGGAATGCACTCGCATCTAGAGACGTGATCAGGTTGTAAGAGAGGTCACTGTAGAACATGGCAGACATGACAGGCAGAACATCTTGGCTTTGAATCTTTGATCCTTGTTCGTTTGTAGTACTCCCTTGGCAGCGAGCATCCAAACTGGGTCCCATCTCTGGCATGACAATGGAATGGCTGGGCCATTGAAGAAATGGAACAACTGACAGTTAGACGGCTGCAGTATGCTTCCTTGAAACAAGCACCTTCACTGGCAATGGAACCGTGACCTTCAATACTGGCATAGTACAACGAGGGTGTCACTGCCATGGCGTTCGTATGCATTTTCAAAGTTACTACAGAGTCGCCGCAAGTTCGTGCGCACCAACTCACAGTGTATGCAGACTTGCAGCTGGCATGAATGCTGCTGTGGGCATAATTTCCGGAATAGAACAAGCCTTCAGCAACCTGGACATGTGAACACAGTATCAGTTCAACATTGGATTACATTCAACAACATCTTTTCTTTCTCCTCTTTGAAATGGTATAATGGAGATATGCCCAGAATGATGGAACCAGATAGAAATTGCTCAGTACCAGAGGGAACAGTCGCCGTAAAAGAAACAGACACAAGTAGCTATTATCACTGTGAACTTGCATAGTAAACGGGCAAATGTCGGAACAGGTTCTGATTGGTGAGATAAAGGAACGTAGCCCAGTGCACATACATTTCCACCAATGAGAATGGCATGATCAGAGAAGACAGAAGAAAGCATGCAGCAATCCCAATAGTATGATGACTGAACAGCAGATGCAATACACATGCGTACAGTGTTGCGATACTTGGATACAGCTGGAGGACGGATGAAGGGATCGATTTCAAACTTGGGTTAGAGTTCAGGTTCCTACAAAGCAAAGGCATGAAATCACACAAAGAGGTTCATGTCAGGGAGTTCCACATTCACAACCAGGAATTCCACATTCATAACCAGGAATCCCACATTCACAACCAGGAATCCCACATTCACAACCAGGAATCCCACATTCACAACCAGGAATCCCACATTCACAACCAGGAATCCCACATTCACAACCAGGAATCCCACATTCAGTACAGCAGACAACAAGACATAGGGCGAGGAAAGCATGTTTAAGTAGTCACGAGATTCTTGAATAATTCAAGTAGGAATATGCTTTCCTTGAACAGCTGGAACTCATTATTCCCAACCACAATAGTAGATACCATTCACTGTTCACGCTTTTTGTTTGGAAGAAGAATAGACGACCATGCAACAGGCACAATGCTTACAGATAAGCCAGCGAAATGTTTGCTCCGCCAAACAAGTCCACGTCAAAGCTGATTAAAAGGTTGGATGACAAGTCACTAAACGCAGCAAAAGACATGACACAAGACGATGATGTTAACAGCAATAAGCATGAGACCAAAGACAATAGGGCTTGAAAGTGCTACGTCACAGCATAGCAACAATTTCAAAAATTCAAAAACTGGATCCACTTGGATCCAGTTTTTGTATGGATCCAAGCACATTTCAAGCGGTCTTACCCACAGCATGGTGATGTAGCCAGTGAAACTGACTGATTTGGCTACTGGGGGCGGGGTTACAACTGGTGGCGAAATAAAAGTCACACCTGCATGCGACATGAGTGGGTTGCTATGCACCCACATACTTAGACAATAGCAAAGTCACACCTTAGTGGATCCAAAAATAGAAATCTGATGTCAACTTACTACTCCCTGGCCGTTTTGACGTCATCACTTTCAAGCCCTATACACCAAGCTGAGGATAACAACTCATGTATCTACAGCTGACTATCCCAGCCTGCTACTTACAGCGTTGTGAGGCGGGTGAAGTTTCTAAATATGTTCACTTCCATGCTCTGCAGTCGTCCATTGGCCATGTACCTGCAAAGAAGGAAAGTTGCATCATATCACGGAAGACTGAGACTCCGGAGCGAAGATACGCGAGAGAGAAAAACTGGCTGGCGCTGTTAATAAGAAGCATCCTCATAATCAGGTACTCAAATTCCTCAATGGCATGGCAATAGGCTTAGGCATCACTAGTCCAATCGCCACCTCATTGCTATTGAGCATAGTTACGGCAGCCCATTGCTCTGAAAAGGGTTTGCACTAATACCAGTATTGGAATGATTCTCTGTACTTACAAGTTAGTAATGTTTGGTGTAGGCCAAAAGTAGTCCATCGGTAAGCTATGAAGATTTCCCAGCAGATTCATTCTCCTGTTAGCATCCACATAGCATCCACATAGCATGCACATAGCATCCACATAGCATGCACATAGCATGCACATAGCATGCACATAGCATGCAGAACAATACAACGTATCATCACAAAGCCTCATCAATCCCTACTTGTCTTTGTACAAACTAGTAGTAGTACTGTTCGTTCGATCAAATGAACCCCTCGATAGGCATATTGCCTTTGGGTCATTTCATAATAACAATAAAATGTAGAAAAGCGTCCAAAGCAAAAAGTGTGTGAGTTATCTAACAGCTATTCGGGTTTGACCAGTCAGGTGATGTGCTGCTGCTCAAAACAGTACAGTTATGCACTGGCATGCGTATTTGGAGTACAGTGAACCTTAAGCACAAGATACCTACAAGAGCTGCAAGAATCTTTAGTAATCTCTACACTATATGTAGGACTCAGTATAGAGTCCATGCACTATATGATGTCCAGCACCCTATATAGAGTCCATTGGTCCAAAATCCACTATACAGAGTCCAGGAGTCCACTCAGTTTTGATCAGCTTCACCCTGCCGCGCAATCCCCTATAAGGAGTACACTTTTTCTACAAGTCCCCTATTCACAGTCCAGAAGTCCAGTTTATCCAGTCACGCCGTCCTGTGTGTTGTGCCCGAAAGAGAACACATTTTCAGTTTTGCTTGCCTCGTGGCAGCGCACTTCCAGTTCCTTTCTTCCGTGACTTCAGCCATGGCTGCCAATTCTGCTGTGCAGTTGCTAACAGTAATCTGTCTCGAGCTAACCAAGGAGGATAAGGAGACGTTCAAAATCAAATCTGGAAAGCGTCTTGTGGTTCTCTGAAGACGTTTCATCAGTGCGCGGGATGAAAGCAGAAATTGCAGAACGAGAAAAGTTCAGCACAGTTCAAATCTGACGAGTCAGGTACACTGACGCTCTCTTTCGTTCGACGCCACAAGGATCCCCTGTTTGGCTGGCCATTGCTGCTAGTAAGACGTTTGAACAGTTTCATCAGAGCGAGGGATGAAAGCAGAAAGCGGAGAACGAGAAAAGTTCAGCACAGTTGCAATCTGACGAGCCAGATACACTGACACTCTCTTTCGTTCGACGCCACAAGGATACCCCTGTTTGACTGGACAAGAGCTGCGTACCACCGTGTCAAAAGGCTGTCCAACTACATGGCAGGACCATGACTGAGGTAAGGAAGCTTTTACTCGTTTCGATTGGTCTGCTGTTCTGTCGTTATGCTTGAATTTTTTTCCATTTTCAAGGAGCGTATCGCGTTTGTTTGATGTTGCTTGAATGAATGCCCTAAAAGTAATCAACCACTTCGTAATAGTCCTCAAGGACTGCAAGGACTTTGCATCAATCGTATATGATCGTCTAGCTATCATCAATTATTTTTATTTCATGAGAAATGTATTCAAGTTTATCCCTGTGATAATTATGTGAACTCCACGACACTCTTCCTGTAGTATGATGTCAAATACAATGGGATCCACAAACGCAGTGCCAGTGTACTAGTAGTAGTAGGACTAGGAGGATTGCTTGTATGCCAATGACAAGAAAAAGCTTCTCAAGCTAATACTCGTATCCCCTGAAGTAACCGTTTTGATGTCACGAACATGACATTGTGTCAGTGAAACTGCCTCGTGACAACAAATCATTGCATTTCCATCTTGGGGAAGACTGACTGACAGCAACGCTGTACAGATTGTTCAAATCATCTCATTTCAATTTAGTTGCAGTGAAGTGAAACACTGTGTACACTACATGTATGTTGGTGTGTCTGTGCGTCTTGAGTGTGCACAAACGATCTTATTCCTCGTATTACTAATAGATTATTGTCCCCACCATCACCTGTTCACAGGTCTTTGAGTGGATTGATTTTCATTGAGCATCACATTCGTTGAGAACTTGGTAGTTGTGTGCTCCCATGCATCATTACGGTAATAAGAGTATCATTGTGCTATCTATTTGTTGCAGGTGTGCTGATCTTCAGAAGCTTGCGGAACTGAGTGCTGCTGAACATTTGCATGGCCATGAGCAATGGTGAAGCTTGCTATTGCACTCTCAGCATGTGCTAGTATTATGCTGACCACTGCACTATGTTACTCTCTTACACTACTACGTGTATGTAAACGTGCGTGTACCCGTCCCCGTACGCATTCGTTTCGTATAATTATTTGTTGTCCCTCTTGACTTTACATGTAAATGGGTGGACGTTTGCATGGCTGTTGGAGTTGCGTGTGTATTGTGTCTCTACTCTTTTCTTGGTGTTTTCTTGGCGTTGTATAAGTTTGTGTGTGTGTGTGTGTGTGTGTGTGTGTGTGTGTGTGCGCGCGCGCGCACAATAATTTGAAAACAAATAATTAATCCTGGGCTCTCCATTATTCTCTTTCGATTCTTGGTTTGGTTTTTTTCTAGTTATTTTCTTGGCGTTGTGTGGGTGTGTGCATGTGTGTGTGCGTGTGCGTGCACAATAATTTGGCAACACTACATGATTGAGATGTTGTAATTTGCAGCGTCTGCGAAGAGACCACTTGATTTGAGGATGGTGTTTGTAGGGTTTTTCATGTAATGAAGTGGCTACAGTGGCGCCTCAATACATATTTTTTATCTTGAGAAGTGAATGATGTAAAGGATTAAAGGGAGAGGCCGTTTTCTGGTTAATATTCACTGCTTACAGCAGATCCTATGTCTATTTTCGAACTCGATAGGGGATGCCTAATTGGCTGGACTTTATACAGGGGGTGTTGTCCACATAAAGACTCTTTATAGTTGATTTCAAAGTTTGGACTCCGTACAGTTGATTTTGGACCAATGGACTCTATATAGGGGTGAAGCCAATTGGCTGGACTCTATACAGGGAGTGATGTCCACCGAAACTTTGAGCTCACAGTTGATTCCAAGTTTGGACTCTGTACAGTGGATTTTGGACCAATGGACTCTATATAGGGGTTGGACATCATATAGGGGCTGGACGCTCTACTGAGTCCAACATATATCCCAGCAGGTACTGCGGCACACCCCAGTTCAAAGCAGGTACTGCGGCACACCCCAGTTCAAAGCAGGTACTGCGGCACACCCCAGTTCAAAGCAGGTACTGCGACACACCCCAGTTCAAAGCACTGATATAGTATAATGTAGGGTTCACGGACATTCCTTTAGCCTGGCTGCAGGGTGACACCGCAGGCAGAGCAGTCCGTGTGGTAGCAGTAGGCATCTCTGGAGCTTTTGACAAGGTATCGGCCTCCTGCACAAGCTCACCGGCTATGGCATCGACGGACCCTTGCATCAATGGCTAACCAACTATCTCTACGATCGTCATTTTCAAGCAGTTGTTTCTGGAGCCACTTCACGAGCTCAACCCGTGCCACCTGGCGTGCCTCAGGGCAGCATTCTGGGCCCTACACTCTTCTTGTTATAATGTTTATGATGCAGCTGAAGTGTCGGATGGCGTGATTCCAGCTACAAGTACTTCGAAGTACATATGCCGATGGCACAACCCTCTTCACTGCGCTACCATCAGCCAGTGCTGCTGCTCGGTGCTGCCGCTCGGTGCTGCCGCTCCACTGCAGACTGGCATTACGACCCTTGCAGAGTGGGGTGTAACTTGGCGGATCAAGTGTTGAGCCTAGCAAGTCCCAAGCAATGCCTGGTTCCATTGTACAAGCTGATGGGTGGGGCCTCGTGTCTAATCTCTACGGGCCTTGCTCCCACCACCGATGGAACTTGCAGCCAACCGCCGAACAAGACGACAATGTCAGTGCAGCAGAGCACACCGCCACCAGCTATCCAACAACCTATCTGCCCACTCCTGCAACACAATTCGCAGATTATTTCCGTATGGCATCATTAAAGCATGGAATTCTCTGCCGCCAGCACTCCTAGTTGTGCCTCCCACGTGCACTCGTATAAAAAAAAATGAAAAATCCAATATTCCTATATAGGATGTCTATAGCCTTATCATCAACCATGCATAGCCCATAGTAGTTGTGTTACATCCAGAGTACTTTACGCTATCTCAAGTTTCACTATACCAGGTGCATGATAACCTACAGTGTCAATAGTCCATGGATGCCAGTCAGATCAGGCAGATTGACAGCTCTATTGTCTCGTATGTCCCTGGAGAAGCACAAACATGCAAAACACACCGAATGTCCTAAGCCTGAGGTTCCATTACAAATAGCTCATCAGTGCAGGTGGGCTGAAGCGGCCGTGAAGCTTGCAACCTCAATGCCGCGTCTCTTGACGAACAACAAAGACATTTCAAGCTCATTGCCGCAGTGAATTCAAGGATAGTTTCCAAGTCCACTCAGATATGACACACCCCATGCACTGATATGCCATATAACATTTTACTACCAGTCTTTACTGTACTCACAGTTCTTGCAACTCTTCCAGTCCCGTGAAGGCGTCCCCACTGTAGTTTGAGATGCCAGCACTGCGTAAATCACTGCAAGAGGAAAATTACATCATTTCAATACGGCTACTCAGATGTCCAGCACTTGTTTTAGGGAGGTTGGAGACAGCTGCTGCTGTTCAGAAACCAACCCAGTGCACTTCAGTAGATATCTCGAAGAAAATGACTTGGGTTACCATACAGTCGATAACGCCACTGATTGCCTGTATAAATATACAGGTAGACTCCCTTTAATTCGAACCTCAAATTGCCAGGCCCTAACTTCGAATTATCCGGAACTTCTAATTATCCAAATGCAGCCCCATACACTGATATGTATGTCAAAATGCTTGAAATCGCATGCTGAATATTTTTTGCACATTTTTATTTGCATCAACGAAACATAGGTGGTCGTACCGGTCATGTAGATCTACAACGGATCATCAAAACACTGGATCGACACAAAATCATTTGACATTATCATCTTCTAGTGAAGAAGTTGTCAGTCACTGCAGCTTTCCTAAAACAATTTCAACGGAAAAGAACTGCGCTGCCTCCGCGTCATGAAAGGCCGTCGGACACCAGCACGTCGTTCTGAAGAACGGAAGTGGAGCATAGGCATAGACAATATTTACAACAATAGTGTTGTTGTGCGCCAACATCTCCACGCACGAGCTGGCGCGGCAAGAAAGGCCATCGAGATCCGCGAAGAGAGTCAGCCACCAGGAAGAAGTCGTCTTCAATCAAACCTTTGCAATTTGCCTCAAACGGGCTTGAATCAAATTTCTCGAGAAGGTGGGTTTCTTGAACGCTATAGTCGATCCTGCAGCGGACCATCGATCGATTTTTGAGCTACTCTTGGCTAGAGAAGGAGAAAAGAATGAACTTCGAATTACAAGGATAGCAACTCAATCTCACTTCGAAATAAGCGTTCAAAGAACATAGCCAATGTACTGTAAACAGCTCTTCTGTACGAAGACTGGGTTCGAATTATCCAACCGGCGCACTTTTCGTACTTCGAATTATGCATTCGATTTTGACTTGAAGTGACTTGCAGAAGATCGGTACGACGAAAAAGTTCGAATTACACGGAATGTTCGAATTATACCGTATTCGAATTAAAGGGAGTCTACCTGCACGGGTTTTTTTGACCCGCGAACAACACAGATGAGTGCAGGATAGCGAGAGTGTGATGACTGAAACCTAGAGAGCAAAACGTTATGTGTAGTCACTGGAGATAGTCTCTGTGTAGTCACTGTAGAGTGGGGGGGGGGGGGGGGGGCTGCTTTTAAGCCGATAGCACCAAAGTCTCACTGCTAAATTATCAGGTTGTTGGCCAGACTACATGTACTTCACACATGCATGTTGTTACTGCATGGCCAGATAGTTTGGATCATGTGAACCAGGACACCCGCATCCACAGTACTGGACACAGTACCGGACACAGTACCGGACACAGTACCGGACACAGTACCGGACACATTACCGGACACAGTACCGGACAGATTGCGCAATGGATGATACTGTTATAATATGCAGGACTGCTTACAGCACTTCTAGGTTCTCCAGCAGACGGAATGTTCCATTCTCCAGTTGCCAATTCCCATCTTGGTAGCTTATGTTCCTGCACGGGTCACATGTAAAGGTTGAGAATGCAGACAAATGTACAACATATTATGCCTACTGTCAACAACCATTGTTTTTTGATCCAACATGTGACACTGATTTCAGGTCAAGGACTCACTATTCCGAGTCTTTTTCAGCTGAGTTTCTTGCTGCTACATACGGCAAAGCAGAGTGCAATAGGCTAACACTTTGGAATTAACGCAATGAATGTTGTGAGTTGCGCACTCAGTACAAACACCATAAGTACTTTGGAAACTAGTATTTCGACTGACATGTGTACAATATTATTATTATTATTATTATTTTTTCTTCAGACTTTTCCCGTTTGTCTCTTTCCCTCAAACTAGTGAAGATTATTATTATTATTATTATTATTAGACACAATCTCATAGCATGTGACAAGCATAGCTAATGCAGGGACAGAATCCCCTGAGACAAGGGCGTTGAGCCAGCCACGGCAATAGTAAGCTAGGAAAACAAAGCAAATATCAATTAAAGCAAAAAAAGAAATGAATGGAAAATTACAAAGAAAAACGATTAACGGAAGTGAGCAGTAGTACATCTTGGAGTTACATGGTCTGCTCAATGACAATAAAATACCGGCTGTACAGTGTGCATATCATGTACAGAGTACAGCGCACATGGTGTCACTACCGGCACTTACAATGTTTGGAGATTTCCAACGTAGTCCAGGAGTTCCTTGCGCCGGTAGCCAGGAGCTCGGAATGCACCACGGTCAACGAGGCTGATGTTGTTGAAGCTCAAATCACTAGGGTCACAGATGCGAGAAGCAGGTGGATTCGTATAGATCACATCATGGAGAGCAAAGGCCAATACGGGTATGTACCACCATGGTCCCCTGCCCTCGTGACTGCCTCTTTAGATCCACCATGAACAAAAAGGTATGTGACAGTAACGTCTTTGCAATGAACAAGACTGAGCACAGATGCTGTGCTAAATAGATTGGTCAGCACTGCCAAACAGCAGTCAACCTATATTCGGTCTGTATACTGGTATAGATGGCTCAGGACATGACCCCATGCACCACCACTTACATGTAATGTATGTTGATTCCACGGAATGCTTCATAAGGGATACGAGACAGGAAATTATGCGAGACGTTTCTGGAAGAAAGCAACAGCATAACCATCAGGTAACAGTTAAATCAGGGAACAAACCATAGCGTTGTGTTTTCCCTCGGCATCTTTAGTATTCATTCCAGAGGAGGATCACCTGTAGTTCAGCAGAACGTCAATTTCTATAACTACTAACTAGTCTTCCTGTACATCCACAGGCATACCGTGTGCATGCACCTGTGTACATCCACAGGCATACCGTGTACATGCACCTGTGCACATACACCCGCTTGTACCCATGATGCATGCACATACGTACACGTGTAATTTGCAATACTGAACATGGCACACACAGCAGACGAGGGCTGCTACTTACACTGTCCGCACGTCATTGTCGGAGAAAGCAGCAGAAGACACCTCCGTCAAGCGGTTGTGACTGAAGTCTCTGTGCAATGTGTAGAATGCCCAGACGTTCCAAAGACCAAAGAGATACACATCACAGTGTCAGTTGATGCCAGACACCGTAGGCTTCCTGAAGCAGTGTGGCTATGCTGTGAATATGCCGACCCCGGCAATATTCAGTGAACACTCATATTTTAATAGGGTGCCACAAACTTACAGATGAGGGATGGTGCCAAAAGTGTTGCTCTCGACTCTCTCAATCAAATTATAGCTGAGGTCACTGGAGAAACAAAGCACAGAAGGTACACACGGTGTGCATTCCCACCGAGGATTCACTCACACAGTGAATACAAAGCATATCACTGCATTGTGTAAAAATCACATCGTAGCAATGTCACGCTGCAGTTGGTATTGTGAGAACAAATGCGACCAATCATCCGGTTTGCTCAACCGCCAGCAAAAAAAAAGGTAGGCTGCTTGCTGTCTGCTCTTACATCAGAACTGTGGTGACAACAGAGCCGGGTTACACGAACATGATCATTGTGTACACCGTATATGGAGTGGCAACTGGTGCTTATATACTCGCTCCACACAAATGATCTCAAACAATGATGTACTGATTGCACAGCCTCTATACTCTGGGTAAATTCCACTTCTCTAGAGGAACTGGACTGGACTTACAGTAGGTTGGTTGAGATCCGATAGAAAGCGTTGTAGCGCACAACAGTCAGAAGGTTGCCACGGAGCAAGCTATGCAAAACCACACCAATCAAAGGACGGCAAAAACTAGAACCGTTAAGATTCAGCGCTTAGAAGACGTACACTCCATAAATACAAATCAGAAGATGGGGATCGAACAGTTATTTGTTCATTTCGAACCGTACAACTATGCAAGAGAGCTCACCAGCGCTCCAGGTAGCATGATTTAAAAAAAACAGCAGCAATGGTAGAAATAGCATGTCGTCCATTGAGGCTGTCTACCGGGCACTAAATTATGCAATGGTTTCTGCGGACATGTTCTCAGTATTTTCTATTGAGTCCAAACAATAATTACATCAGTGAAACAAAGAGGTTCCATGCAGCATAAATTCCCACAAATCCAACTATCCCCACCTAGAACAGAATTGACCACATCAACCGCCGAAAGGATCTAAGGTAACTAAGACTTACAATGAATCTAGAGTGAGGTATATGCCAAGGGGAGAAGAAGGCACGAATCCGTACGGAACAATCTCCTCGATCTTGCTAAAACGAAGATCCCTACAAAACATCAGAAAGCAAACTTCACTACATAGTTCTCTCTACCTACTACCACAATTCAGTATTTTTGAAAGGAAACTGAAAGCATAATACTTATTACTACTACGATTGCTAGGTGAACACATATGCGTTGATGCAGACCACAATCAAGCAGGAAGACAACTCGGTACGAGAACTGAAGGTTAAAAATACAAATATGTTCATTCTCCTCTCATCCTGGGTAAATGCAGAGAAAAAGATAAATGCCCAAGACCAAAACTATAAAAGTACAGAGGGCTCCTTAAGGTAAAATAACTCTATCAAGGTGACAAGGTGAGAAACTTAGCACCACAAGTCAAACACACACCTCCAGTGGTGATCACTAAACACATGCCAAGCAATACAAGAAGTAACGATGAAAAGGACCAAGGAACTGCAAGTTACACTTAGTAAAATGTCCACAAATACCACCAGTTACTTGACAATCAGCTCATGCGATAACATTGCACGACACTGACCGACAAGAAGTATTCTTCACACTTTCAAAAGACTAACACTAAGCCAACCTATACGAACTGTGTAATCCATGTGCACAGTTCTGCAGTACGGAACCTCTATGACGTGTAGTGTGTGGGTTAAGGCGAATCTTTTTCTTACAGGTTACGAAGTCGAGGTACATAGCGATAGTTGTCAAATACAATCTCCTCCAAGGGATTATAGGCAAGGTTCCTACAATGCATAGAGCACGCACGCATCGATTCACACACAAAAATTGCGCTAGAACAGCAAAATTATACATGTGGTGGGGTTTCCCCAGCACTAAGACTTGTGTTGGGTCTACTTTCAACAAGTATTACACATCCACAGGACCACAACCTTGCAGGGCAGTAGGGAATGTGGCTTCACTATCATATATCCGGTCACCAAAAGAAACTGGCAAGGAAATGCTAGAAGAAAACACAGCTTACATTGTTCGCAAGTTTTCTAATCCATACAATGACGCTTGCGTGAAGTTTACCAGCAGGTTCCTTGAAAAATCTCTGTGCATACAGGGACACACACCAACCAACCAAAGCACTCACATCTTGTAAAATCTCAAATACCCGGCAATCAGCATGCCTATTGTGCAAATCATATACACATTTCATTCTGCTCCTAACTAGAATAATTGTGAAAACCTCTTCTCACACGACATGTTCTAAATCCATACAACTGAGAACAGATCTGACAGTCTTGCTCAAAAGGAAAGGACAGCAATATGCAAATATGCAGAGCAATACCAACTCACAGGGTTTCCAGGTTGTTCAGGCTGAAGAAGACATTGTCCGGTATGATCGAAATGGAGTTATTGCTCAGCTCACTGTATGAGTACAAATTGTAGCAAAGAAGCCATGGTCACCACATTTCAAGGTGCACTAACAGATAAGCTGAGACTACAAGATACTCCGCCACAGCAATGAGCTGCAAGCTACTACCAATACAAGATAGTTTAGTTGAAAAAAGGTCAAGGATGAAACAGCTTCAATGGAGATAGGAATTGATTCATTTGAACCAGTGAAGCCAATGTTATACCGGCATTCCTAACAAAGATTTAACACACCCATCTGCATGCACACTACACAGCATTGAGAGCATTGAGTTGTGGGGATAGGAGTGGTTTGTCAACCGCTGTTTGCCTGGCTCGCAGTGAGTATTATTTTTAGTGGCAGCAGGGTGAGTCACCCTGGCCGCATCTTGATGTTAGCGACAAGGTGAGTCACCCTATCGCATCTTTCGAGAGCCAGGTGGGCTGTGTGAGCCGCACTGGCAGGATGAGCCTGGTGAGCGAGATTGACTCCCCTCTGTATTCAGTTATTTAAGTTGAAGAGATGTGATTGAATGTTGGTTCTGGTGATACCAAGAGGAAAATGAAGATGTGCTTCAGCATGGTGCAGCACAGCAGAAAGAAACAGAGGGCATGGTAGGGTGGGCTTTGAAGAGAGTCACCAGTCAGCCATGCAAATCTGAGCAGGAAGCAAACTGTGAAGTGTCCGGCGTGGCGCATGCGCCTTCTGTGTTAACTTATTTCTGCGCACTCACAAAAATTCATTTAACACACCCATCTGCATGCACACTACACAACATTGAGAGCATTGAGTTGTGGGGATAGGAGTGGTTTGTCAACCGCTGTTTGCCAGGCTCGCAGTGAGTATTATTTTTAGTGGCAGCAGGGTGAGTGACCCTGGCCGCATCTTGATGTTGGCGACAAGGTGAGTGACCCTGTCGCATCTTTTGAGAGCCGGGTGGGCTGTGTGAGCCGCACTGGCAGGATGAGCCTGGTGAGCGAGATTGACTCCCCAATTAGACGAGAGAGCTTGGAAGCTCAGGGCCCTACGCTATGCTTTTATGCTTTTTTGCCTTGCTCATCGTACATGTTATAAGAACTGATGGAAATGTCTTTTTCCGTTGATTGGCCACATCAGTATTGCAAAAACGTTTCAATCGGTTTGAATATTATGAGTTAGGCAAAAGTATTTGCAGAATTTATTGCGGATTGTTACATGTATTTCTCTAATAATCATCCACTTTCGGTTTGCTCCTTCTTTTCTTTTTATCTCTTTATACTGTAAATCAACAAATTTTGGCCGATGAGAAATAGAAACCTCTCTATTAGAGAGGTTAAGATGCACGTTATGTCCGACGTGACGCGCAATTTCACGTCAAATTTGAAATCGATCGGTATTTTTGCTCTCACATGCATCCATTGCTCAATCATGCATCATTTGCCTATATGACAAACTTTGGCCTGCGATTTACTTTGGCCGGTTGGTACCAAGCGGCGAAATCAGCGAAATTAAATCGCCAGCGAAAATTAGTTGATTGTAATACAGTAATCGGATTTTCTGGCCTTTTTGTAGTAATACATGTACATTGACCTGTTGAGCCAATGACGACGCCGAATGCATGCCTGTGGAGCACATTACATAACTTTACAGTCTCCTAAAATACGTATCCTGTCCGACGGCAAAAGAGGCTGCAGATTTAGTTTTTCTGCGCGTCGACGGGATGTCTGCGACGCGAAAGTTCAGCTCGCGTTATTTGGCTCGCACGTCGAAAAATCAACGCGAGTGACCTGCTGCTCACGTCGAAATTTGGACATTACATAACTTTACAGTCTCCTAAAATACGTATCCTGTCCAACGGCAAAAGAGGCTGCAGATTTAGTTTTTCTGCGCGTCGACGGGATGTCTGTCCTGACGTTTACTGGGACCGGCGCTGACTCTGCCGATCACGGGCGTTCTGGACTCAACGGGATGTCTGTCCTGACGTTGCCTGGGACCGGCGGACTCTGCTGATCACGGGCGTTCTGGAGTCGACGGGATCTCTCTTCCGACGTTTCCTGTGACCGGAGCTGAATCGCTCGTTCACGCTTATTTTGGAGACGACGGGATCTCTCTTCCAAAGTATGTTTATGCTGACGCATCCTATCACCTATTCGGCGTCTATTCTAATTATTTTAATTTCCTCCTCATCTCCCTATTTCTTTCCAAATCTCCCTCTACATCTGGGAGTCGTATACATAATACGACGAATATTGGTACGGTACGGGACAGATACAGGAGCCCGCAAATATTGTGGACAGCTGTTATGTACAATCCTGTAGAGCCTTTGTAGTCACAGATACGGGACAGATACGGGACAGATACGGGATAGCTCCAGCCGTGACACAAACAAACAAACAAACAAACAAACAAACACCAAATTAAAGCTGTGTGGACCCTGGCTAGCGCCAGACGTTACTGAAGTAACGTCTTCTGCATAGCTACGGGAATAAAGCATCCTATTCCCACTACGACACCAGAGATTGCGCAATAGTTGCCTAGTGTTATAAGGCAATGGGCAAGAAAGAAGGCTGGGGCACAGCAGAGTGCCATGACAGAAAATGAAAGCAGAGCTGTCAACATGTTCAGAAATCTCAGTTCGGGTATTGCGGCTTACCGGCTGAGAGATGGGCAGACGTCCATCACGAGGAGGCACAAGGTGCTGACGCCGTCTCCCCAGGAAGGGATGGAAGTCGTCTTGGGTCAGACGGGTCCCGGTTGGCTGTCGGGTGGAGGTGGCGGAACCGGAGGAGCTCTTGGCGGAATAGGGCATCAGCACGCACGTTGGTGATGCCAGGAATGTGGTGTGCAGTAATCATGAAGTTGCCCTTCGCACAGATGAAGGAAAGCTGTCGGAGAAGTGCCATCACATTGGGACACTTGCTGGTGCCAGATGCTACGACAGCAACCACCGCAGTGTTGTCCGAGTGGAAGCAGATGCGCATGCGGCTCCACTTGTGGCCCCAGGTAGCGCATGCCACACAGATCGGGTATAGTTCCTTGAACGTGATGTAGCGTGCAGAGAGGTGCCGAGGCCAACAGACTGCGAACCATTCAGGACCGTAGAGTGCACCGTAGCCGATCAAGCCAGAGGCATCGGTCTCGATGGAGATATTGTCTCCGCCGTTACATGGGATTGCAGCAGGAGGGCTTTGCCATTCCACCCCTCCAGCAAGTGTGACCACGATAATCACCCGACTCGCAAAGTTGAGTTTGCCTATTAACTGTTCCAGCTCCTTGCGTTTCAGGGATCGGCGGGTTGGGAGGGAGCCAAGCGTAGAGCGCAAGTCAGCCAGCTTGTCATCAGGAAGGCGAGCAATCATTCGGAGAGAGTCCAGCTCAATGCCGAGAAACGTGAGGACATTTGTAGGCCCTTCTGTTTTCTCTTCTGCAATAGGAACCCCGAAGTACTTGAAAACAGCCAGGATAACTTCAAGACGTTGGCGACATAGAGGGGAATTAGCAGGCCCGCACAGCCAAAAATCATCCAGAAGATGCAATAAATGTGGGATGGAAAACAGCTCATGGCAAATGCTGCAAAAGACATCAGCAACACAGTTAAACAAATAAGGGGCTGACCGCAGGCCAAAGGGCAGGACCTTGTCAAAATAGAATTGATCACGCCACTGAAAACCTAGCAGATAATAACAGGCTGGGTCCACTGGTACAAGGCGAAATGCATTACGGATATCCAGCTTAGCCATAAGTGCACCTGGACCATGCATACATAAGATGTGTATGGCGTCGTCCACCGTGACGTACTGTACTACTGAAGAGAGAATGTGTCCTTGTCTATGCTGTCGTTCACGGACTGGCCATTGGGATAAGACAAATGGTGGATAAGACGGAGTTTCCCGTTTTTCTTGGGGACAACGCCGAGGGGTGCGGAAACAAAAACATCAAAGGGTGTGACAGAAAATGGGCCGGCAGATTCGCCGGCACGAATACGATCAGCAATGTGGTCATCAACAAAGGAAGTGTGTTCATGTGCAGAAGAAAGATTATCAGAGATCAGGGAGTGCATAGTGCCAGAGTGTCCAACGTGAAAGCCATGGTCCAATCCGTGCAAAACGAACTCAGCAAGATTTTGGTCAGATACACGTGGCAGTAATGTGTGAAAGCGAACAGTGTTCAGGGGAGTGGAAGTCGGCTTACTTTTTCTCAGCTGGCTTTGAAGTCTTCTCGTGGCTATCTGCAGGGCGCTGCCACTTGAAGCGGGTGGTGCTGGCGCAGGATGTGGTGGCGTGTCCTTTGTCTCCGCAGGAGCTGCAGGCGTGGAGACGGTTGCAGGGTGTGCGGGAGCAGGGCCTACCGCGGTTTAAGTTAAAACAGACCTGGCGGGTGCTGCCCGCACCAGATGGAAAGGGCTGCGCGTGTTGAGCTGCGGCATGTGGACAGCGGCCGCGGCTGTGTTGGAGCGTGCATTTGGTGCATGACGGACGGGGTGAGCGGAGTAGGTGAATACTCCACAGCGTCTGATTGATCACGTCCCAGCGCAGTGCCTGGGCTGGCGGTGTGTTGGCGGAATGCCCGATCATAGTTGAGCACAGCAAGCGTCGTGAACTGCTGGTTCGCAGTACAAACAAAGTAGGTGCTGATAGCAGACGAGCTCATGAGCTCGGTCGGGACGAGCACGAACGACGATGCCATGTAGATTGTCCAGGCCTCCAGCCAAGCCGAGAAATCGCTGATCGCGCGCTTGTGCTTCGCGCTGAGGTTGAGGGAGAGCTGAGCCATGTCGCCGCCAGCTGTAACCAGTTGTATTGGCTCCTGTCCAGAGCTGAAGTTTTCCGGCAGGAGTTCCTCGAGTTCCACAAACTCTCCGCGCTGGATTTTTTCAATCGCGCGACGTGGCGGTGTTGGTAGAACCGAGGTTTCGGAGAGAACTGGAGGTCCAGACACAGTCGGAAGAAGTGGAGGTTCGGGGCAGGATAGGTCCGTAGCTTGACGCTCCGAGCGTGGGAGAGATCTTTCAGGTTCCGAACGCGAGCGTGGGAGAGATCGGCTTCCAGACTCAGCATGGTTCTCCAGGCATTCCACGCGTTCGAGGAGAGGGTGGAGAGCGTTCATTACGGCCGAGGAAATGGTGTCCGGGGAGAGCAATGAGGGCTCGTCCTGCAATGAAACTTCGGTGCCCGGAGCGGGGTCAAAACTAGCTGCTGACGGCGTGTCGGACGTATCAGGTGCAAAGACGCGCGTGACGTCAGTCCGCGCGTATGGCGAGGTTGAAGTCCGACCAGAGCGGCGGGTAGCCTCGACGGCATACCCGCGTGCGCCTCCACGTCCCCTTCCTCGCACAGAGCCTCGTGCTCGTGGCATGGTGAAAGAGAGAGAGTAACTGTGAAAACTTTGAAGAGAGTCACCAGTCAGCCATGCAACTCTGACCAGGAAGCAAACTGTAAAGTGTCCGGCGCGGCGCATGCGCCTTCTGTGTTAACTTATTTTTGCGCACTCGCAAAAATTCATATAGAATGGACCATTCCTACCAATGTTATACCGGCATTCCAAACAAAGATATAGAATGGACCATTCCTACAAGATCTGCGTGAAACAAGACAATGTCCATCTGATACTTACAGTACTCTGAGCTGTGGTAGGTTTGTGCGGAAATCAGTTGTTGGGATTTCCGTCAGGCCACAGTCAGCAAGACTCCTGCAAATTCAAGTCAGGAAGGAGAATCAGGACAAGGTGTATAATGTTGTGGCTTGCAGGGGTGAATCCAGCAATTTCTACAGGGGGGTTCCAGTTGAGCCAAACCTGAATAGCTGATACACGTACATGTACATGCATATGGTTTCCAGTAGCACATTTGCGAAATATAGGGGGTTCCTCGGACCCCCCCCCCCCCCCCCCCCTGGCTGGATCCACTCCTGACATGGGTGGTAATATCGGAAGAAGAGGACTGATACTAATGCTGCAGCTCATGCCTGATGCTGAGGGGAAGGTTGACCGTTCGTGACATGCTTCTCGTGTGACCCAGACAGCGGCCAGGTGTCAGTCAGCACGAGTTCCAATGCTAGAAGCAGCCAACTTCAACTGTTCTTCTGTTGCCCTAAATTGGCAGCTGATCATACTCTTTTCCTTGGCCATGAATGCCTACACTAGATTCACCTGCTCTTGATGGAGCAAGCTATCTGAGTTCACATCTTTCTCACTATTACCCTGCCAGTCTAGCTCCACATGCCCAAAGTAGAGTTGCATTCAGTATTCTTAGAGCACCCATACACATGTCACGCATACAGACTACAGCCACACATTCATAACTGAGCAGCAAAAGACAGTCTAGCTCCCAGCTGCAGCATATCACGTGGCAACTCACAGGTTCCGCAAACGAATCGGTCCAGCAAAGCTGTGCTGCTCGACATCCAATGGGACAGATTGTTGGGAAAGGTCACTGCAAGACATACATAAATGCAAAGAATGCAGCCGTCAGACTCAATAGTAGCGTGCCTATGGGTATCATGAACGTGACAACTCTGACAGAGAATCCCAGATAGCATACAAGCTGGTGTGGTCTACTAGATCCGACCTGGGCAATGCTGTCATTGAAAGTCATTACCTGAAGGTACTGCAGCAAGTAGAGAATGTCTGAACAACCCACTGGGTGCCAGGCGTGGAAAAACTACATGCATAGGCTAACAACACGGCGGTCCGATGATTGCCCAACGGTCGGTTTCACTACGTGCACGTGATCAATGGTCCAAACTGGACCTTGAGCAACTGCAGGCTGTTCACTTTACTTCTCCACTAACTCTTTAGCTAATGGATACCAGATCGTAATAGGGTGTCTAGAGCAGTAGAGCACTTCACATTTCGTTGTGCCAAGAAACCTTCGTTAATAATAGATTGACTCACAGATTGGTAAGTTGGCTGAGACCAAAGAATGTCGCCCGTGTGACCCTCAGGATAGCGTTGTTCGAAAGCAACCTGTAAATATAAATACAATGGCACAAGGACACAGGTGTAAAGCTACTTGCATGACTCGCTTCCAACAGCACACCCGGAAGTGAATAGTAAGGGCAAGAGTACATAACCCCCCAGAGTGTGCAACACCTGATTCAGCTCTGCATAGGGTCTTGGTCGAGCATAATCGGATCTTCTGATGTCATGCGTACACTCCACACCAGCGCAAGGCCGGTCTCGAGGCAGGGCACCGTTGTTTTTGATCCGAGAGTACCCGCAACTCCCCGGGTTCCCCTCAGATGTGTACGGTATTATGACGCAAAGATCCGATTACGCTCGACCAAGACCCTATGCAGAGCTGGATCAGGCGCTGCACACTCTGGGGGGTTATGTACTCCGATTGGTAAAGGCATAAGCCTATGAGTAATGCATGTGAGTACGCTGGGATCAGGAATGCACTGTTGAACACCCCAGACGGCCATGCCCAGGTGGCTGTGTGGGGTGTCTATGGTGCAATTACGGCATTGCGCAATGGGCTTATTGACTGAGCACATACAGCACAAGCACTCGCCAATGCCCTGAACCAAGCAGAGAACCCGCAAGCCTCTACTACTGCCTCTACTACTGCTTTGCACGCCTGGAGAACAAAGTGGCGAGTCAGCTTAGACCCTACCATGTCGCAGTCTTTCTGAACCTTCTGCCATAGGCCTTTCCCTGCCAGGTATCACATTTAGAGGTGAGGTCATCCATCAGCTCCAGCAGTTGAAGCTCCTGGGAGTCATGCTCGACTCCTAGCTCACCTCTGGCAAACGCCTTCAGACGGTTGCTGCCAGAGAAAATTCCAGGATGGGCCTCCAGGGCTAGGCTTCTCAAGTGGCAGGTGGCCCTAGCAAGTCGGTCTTGTAAAAAAGGCTTTATCAGACTACTACTCCAGCAAGCCCCCCCCCCCCTAACCACCACACACACACACCTGGATGGGAGCTGCGCCCACCAATTTTGAACACCTCAGCCCTGCCCAGCAGTGGACACTGTACGTCCTGGGATCCCGGGTTCAATGCATTGTTGCGAGCCTCAAGGCGGATACATTGCCGTCTTTCCTTCGGACAAGCTGCTGTGCCTCCCAAGGATTCCCTGAACATGTACATAAGTCTTCCTCCTTTTGACACACCAGCTAAACCTGTAACCTGCAGGTAATGTCAAAAGACCACTAGCTATCTGCTCCAATTTCAGAACTCTCCCCAATACGGCTCCCAAATTCCATTCAATGTCATCCTTCCGGCTTCACCATTTGCAGTCCATCGTCCGTCAAGGGCCTCCTAGCTTTCACGTCAAATGTCCTCCACCAGCTTCTCCATAGCCCTTGGCTTTGTCAAACAGACTCCATTTACTTCAAACAGTAAGAACCATGATATTCATGCTGCTGCTCCTCTACCAGTCTTTACGTGTCCCAGTACCCAAACTTCCGGCTGATCCAGTCCATGGCAAGGATGTATCAACTGCCACGGAATTCTCTTTTATCCTCATCACATCCTCACTGATGAAATTGGGAAATGCTAGCTGCTTCAAGTCACAATGGAATCCTCTAATCCAAGTAGGGGGGGGGGGGGGGGGGGGCTGTTGGACCATCAGTGGATGTCAGTGTGGACTAAAGCCAACTCACAGTGTGGTCAATAAGGGTGTATAGCGGAACGTTGTATCATCAATCGTAGTCAGTCCATTGAATCGAATATCCCTGAACAGCAGAGACAAGAAAAGGAGAACTTGCATAAGGAACAGTTCCCACCTCCATCCCGAATAGCCTTACACAAGACCAACACACTGATGGCCAAAGAAAAGCTATTCACAGCCAGAAAGTCTGCTGTTGTTGCAACTAATACTGGTGTACTGCGAAAAGGTTCCTTTCTGTAGGAAACTACACGTACCACACCGGTGCTGAGCTCGTGCTAACATGAACATAACAGAAGCATACAGTCACGTTCTCCTAATTCCTTTAGAACTCGGTTGTTCAACTGACTAGCATTGACTACATGCGCTGCATGGCAATACTGAATGGAATTTCACTGTACTATCTACTTCACATTGCACTCCCTCACTTACAAGTAACGGAGGTTTGCCAGAGCCAGTAGGTCAGTATCGGCAAGGGCGACAATACGATTGTAGGAAACATGGCTAGTGTCAAACACACACAGCACATGGATAGAGCACACACACAATAAAATAAGATATACACACATAATAATTATATTCATTGGTTTGAGGACACATAATAGGTAAAATATACATGAGTACACATGCACGAGCTGCAAGAGATCTACACCATTTGTGGACATGCTCATACACGTACTTCTGTCTCAAGTACTAGAATGTCTTGGATTCTACCACTCCACATGGCAGCATTCAGAATTAATGGATAGTCTGGCCAGGTGCTGCAAATCAGTCTGCAAATGGTGAGCCCAGTGAATTTGCCAATTTTTTTTACAAAAAAACCACGCACCAATTGATGGCACAAAGCAGCAAGGCAGCGATGAGACATATGGAATGGCAGGAGTGGGGGAGAGGCAGGGGCAGCTTGACCGACCATAGGGTCTCGGCTTCATTGCAACCCAAGCGCTCCACAAAAACAAAAGATTACAGAAAATACGGAGGGGGGGGGGGGGAGGTAGATAACTGGGGATTACGGGGAAAAGTATGCACAATAAAAAGTTAGAGAGTCAACGAAGTGAATGGAGGAGGGAACCGAGTTAGAGCTTTTTTTCCGTCTTTTTTCTTTGATTCATAGCCTGTCCGTTGCCCACTCCCAGCGGGTAAGGCGCAGGTGGGCGTCGACCTTTTCTTTGAACGTCTGCAGTCCTTTCCTTGTTGGCTGGTTCAGCAGAACCCCAATGATCACCTTGTGAACCTAGCTGCAATAATGCTCACAGAACTTTGGAGCTCTTCTTGACCATGACAGGATTATCCTATGCTTACACCTACTTACACATTCTGAATGGACGGGTAGCGTTCACTGCCAGCAATCTTCAGTGACGCCAAGTGGTTCCCGTCAAAGTGCCTGGTGAATCACGCATGAGACCAAGAGGAAGGTAAAGAAGTCACAGTTTACTTAGGGGTCATTGCCAAAGTGTTTTGTTATCCCTGAAACGAACACCGTTCACTGGGGGGGGGGGGGGGAGCCAAGACCGCAAGTCTACAGACACTGTGCATGCACATGCACGCAATTTGTAATGTTCAGTACAGCAAGCTGCATTCATCTTGGAGGGGAGGGGGGGGGGGGGGTCAGAGTATGAAAATTAATGAATGATGTTCATTTCAGGGACGACAAGAAAAACTTGCGACGACCCCTTATCAGTGTCACCAGGTAACACATGTGCCACAATACAGTAGGGCAGTAACAGTCAGTAGCAGCAGAAACTAGCCTGGTACTTACGACTCCATGGGTAATACCAAAATAGCTATCCTTGTATAATACCCCCCCCCCCCCATATTCCACATAGTATAGGACTTTCAAAGTGGTGATGCTGGAGTTTCACCACTAATCAAACCATAACCTATATCATCCATAAACACGGCCAAAGAGTCGTAGCATCCAGGAAGTCAGCACAGTTGGTTGGAATGTGAAGCAACCGTGGGTCTTGCTCATGGGCTGCCCATTACAGTCATCCTCGAGGCAGGGCCAATCCCACACGTGGCACATTCTGCAGGCTTGGTACACGTTTGTGAGGTCAACACGTTAGGTCACATTAAAGGGGAAGTTAAGGCAAAAATTAAAATTTCACCAGTTGTAGTCTTCGGGGTGCTGAGTCGAATGGTCTTGGTCCGAGAAAGCTGAGACGCTCCCTTCCTACTTGAATCCCAATCGAACTCGCGCACTTCCACCGAAACTGGGTGACTGCGCCCTACTAGATGGGGATTTGTATGCAAAATGTCACTAAAAGCGCCATTTCGTTCTTATAAAAGCACGGATGACCGCGATTGGCCCATATGTTGTAGTCGTTTGGACGCTGAGTCGACTGGTTTTGGTCCGAAAAGGCTGCGATGCAGCATTCCTCCTTTATTCCCAATCGAACATGGTTGAACAAGTGGTCACGTGCTCCTGGGTGCCCAAATCACCTGGTCACCACGCCAGCAGGCGACAACTTTCACACCAAGGTTCAACTCGAGTTCAACTCGAGTGACAGGACTGCACCCAAAAAAGGTCAAACAGGCTAGTAAGTTGTACCCTGCAGGCACGGTGACCAGCTGACTGGTGTACACAGGAGCCCGTGACCACTTGTTCAACCATGTTCGATTCGGAATAAAGGAGGAACGCTGCATCGCAGCCTTTTCGGACCAAAACCAGTCGACTCAGCGTCCAAAAGACTACAACATATGGGCCAATCGCGGTCATCCGTGCTTTTATAAGAACGAAATGGCGCTTTTAGTGACATTTTGCATACAAATCCCCATCTAGTAGGGCGCAGTCACCCAGTTTCGGTGGAAGTGCGCGAGTTCGATTGGGATTCAAGTAGGAAGGGAGCGTCTCAGCTTTCTCGGACCAAGACCATTCGACTCAGCACCCCGAAGACTACAACTGGTGAAATTTTAATTTTTGCCTTAACTTCCCCTTTAAGGTATCCGCTGCTTCTGAATACTATTCACGAGCCAGGCCCAGTCCACTGAGCACGATGTGCTCCTCCGTCAGGATTGCTCATAACAAGTCTGTCTAATGGACAACCACAGACTGTTATTGTCCGGAACCCACTGATGCTACTTTGTCAACACTTGCTTCGAGGCCAGACTTGATTGAAACAAGCAACCTCATGATCTCATCTGATCTGCTTCAAGTCCCCCAAGTGGCTCGATATTTCATGCCAAACTTCTAATGTCCCCGAGGGTGACCAGTTTAGAGTCGACTAGAAATTCATGATCTTGCATGCATTTCTAGAATGTTCTACTAAATCTCTGGGTGTCACGGTAAGTACAGACAGTGCACGTACAGGTGCCTGGACATATCGATCTGCACAACAGGTGACACTTCAGTTACCCTGGTTAGTTCTGGCTGTCCCTACGCTTCCCCCTCCCTCTCTCTCTCTCTCTCTCTCTCTCTCTCTCTCTCTCTCTTTCATGTTACCCTGGTCAAGCATGCCTCCCCGTGCATAGTCATGTACTTACAAAGACCTGGTTCTAGGCAAGAACGTTTTCGGCCAGCCGGTCATGTTCAGGTACTGACAGAAGATATCCACTTCTCCATCGCCGAGGTTTCTGCAGTCACAAAGAGGGCTCGGACACTGCTCGATTGGCTGCTTCCCAAGCGTTGGTAATTGAGCCAGAACGACATGACGTACAAAATTGCAGCCCAATATCAGCCAGATAGCCAGCGCTAGGGTACGCATTGTGGCGAGTCAACCGTTTGCTTGGGGTCAGCGATTCTTTGTGCGGTAAGCAAAACGACCACACTATCCGTGAATCAGTACATCTTTTCGCTGAAGCGGGAGAAAGCCAGGAGGAAAGACGAGTGGCTAGGACGATTGACTGTCATTCAAACGGACGCCCGTCCCTCTTCTTGTGACCACTTCAAAGCGTGTGCAGCTCCTTCACCTTTCATTTTACAACACTAACTGCAAGATGATCTTCAGGAGGGACGCTAACTATTTACTTGCTTCGGATTTCGACGGAATGTAATTACTTATTCATTGCAGTGCTGCCCCTCTTTCTACCGCCAACACCTCGCAAAACAACAAAAACAGCAGACAGTCCAAACAAACTACAAACTGTCGTCCTTCGCGAAATAGACGTTTATAAGGAACTGGTATGACCTGTCACGTGTAGATCTACATCTACATGCGGACATCGCCTGCCAACATAGTCAATGTCAATGTCAATGTTTACCACCGTACCAGCGCTAGCGCTAGTGCCACAGTGCATGCACTAAATATCTAAACTGATAGTCCGACGATATTTGCCGCTGACACGTGAATCCCAGAGACGAGAGTGCAAAACCAAGGCCGAGGGCAGACGGCTGTAACATCCGGATGTCTGAGCGTCTTCGATCGGGCCATGCCATGGCCAAGATGACCGTATTCGCTGCCATTTTGAAACGTACTTACGATTATTGGTGCCAGCGATCATAATCAGGGAATAGTACAATACAGTCTTGTACTACTCCCTGATCATAAGACTTTAGTATGTTTCAAAATGACAACGAATACGGCAGTTCAGCACACCACAAAAAACCACCAGATCTATCAATCCAGCACCTCCCCCCCCCCCCCCCCCCCCTCCCCCCCTTCAATAATTTCAATCGCACAAATGGCTGTACACGCAGAGAAAGAAGAAAGTGCGTCAGAGTCAGGCGGAGTCTCATCAGATGCCTTGCGACACACCATTGTCCTCGCCGGTGAACCTGGCGCCTCGGGTTGGCTTAATTGACGTCCTTTGAAAGAGTATGGCTTTTAAGCTTCCATTGAGTGAGCAGAGTTCAGGGACGGTGTGTGCCTCCATTATGGTTGGATGCCACCGAGCCGGGTTACCCACTCATTGCTCTTGTGGACGGGACAATGGTATTGACCATGCCTTGTCATGTCCCCTTGCTGGTTTTACCACTATCCGCCTCACTAAAATGAGATCCGGGACGTAACAGCCTCTCTCCTTCAAGAGACCTGTCACAATGTCTCCATTGCGCCACTGCTGCAGCCACTCACCGGGGAGAGAATGAGGTACAGGTCTGCTATCGTGGAGCATGCGCGGCTTGATGTCGCGGTCAGTGGTTTGTGGCGCTCAAGTCGTTTTGAGCGTATTTTACTTGATATACGGGTTTTTAATCCTCACGCACGCTCAAATCGATCTACAACACACACCACTGTCTATCGGCGCCATGAAAAAGAAAAAAGAAGATACTATCTTTACTTATAAAAGAGAGGCACCTGTGACGTGTGTCTGTGTGTGTGTCACGCTCCTTATAAAGAAGAGGCACCTGTGAGGCTGTGACGTGTGTTTTTGTGTCACGCTGAAGCGCTGCGGAGCAGCGCTGCCCTGAGCACGCGAAGCGTGCGAACAGACTCAGTGTAGCACAGTGTAGCTAGCGGCCGCAGAAGCACTGAGCACGCGAAGCGTGCGAATCGTGTAGCTAGCGCCCGCGTAGCGGAAGCAGCCACAGAAGCACTGAGCACGCGAAGCGCTAGCGTTCGAATCGTGTAGCCACCACCACGTGCTGAGCACGCGAAGCGTGCGAACAGTGTAGGTACGGTGGTATACCGGTAGCGCTTATAGTACTTCTAGCAGACACGATCAGTAGATCTCTACGAGTAGCAGTAGCAGCCGCGCGCAGAAGCACTGAGCACGTGAAGCGTGCGAATCATGTAGCCACCTAGCCTAGGCCATAGGCATAGGTAGCACTACACGTAGCAGCCGCAAAAGCGCTGCGGACCACGTGAACCGTTCTCTGCAAATAGAAACATCTCATCTGCAACAAAAGGATACAAAAGATCTGCACTGACTGCACTCTGCATCTGATCTGCAGTGAAGAGCGCATCGCACTTTTGTTCGTAAGTTTATGAATTTTTTGAGCCGCTTCATCCGCCACCAGGTGATGGACAACCCTGACCAGCCTCCCGAAGGCGTAACAGACGTCCCTCCTTCTCCTTCCAACGATGACGAACCTCCCTCACCAGGACTTCAGCGGTCTGGCCACCACCACGTGCTGAGCACGTGTGCTGTTCATGTACTTGCTTCACCCGCATGCCACATTCGGCCAGGCAACGCTGGCGGGGGTGCTGCTAGTGTATATATATGAAGAGAGGGTGAGAGAGGTGGAACATGCGACGTTCGTGCCAGTTTTGATGTCGGCGAGTGGGAGCATGGGGAGAGCGGCTACATCACTCTATCGCCGAATCGCATCTTTGAGAGCGGACACTGAGGAGGAAGGAGCAGTACTCCCGTGTAATATCTTACATCCGGTGCCGTCTCTCATTTGCCCTGTTGTGTTGCGATCATTCATCATGTGTTTGCGAGGTTCATGAGGTCTTTTCCGTGAGTGATCGGTTCGGCATCCAGAGTCTGCTGAGCTGGTTGTTGCCGAGGCCCAGGTTGCTCGCATGTGAGAACCGTCACAGATTATGCTCATTATAAACCATGTGATGTAAGTATACTCTTTACATCTTACAGGCTATGTTTATTATTATTATTATTATTATTATTATTATTATTATTATTATGAAATGACCCAAAGGCAATGTGCCTATCGAGGGGTTCATTTGATTGAAAGAACAGTAGATGTAGATGTATGTACAAAGAGAAGTAGGGATTGATGAGGAGAGAAATGGGGAAAATCAACTGCAAGGTGGCGGAATTCCGTTGATTGCATAAGCATAGTCAGCTGTAAATTTCCTGAGGGCATGTTCAACATTACCAAGCTCTCCTCGTGTAGCTTGTTGTTGTTGTTTATATTGTGCTATTGTCAGTGGTTCGGAAAGTCCTTACAACCATAATCACAAAGAGAATTAGCACCAATATTCAGCAGTTTGTGGATGAGTCACAAGCCGGTTTCAGACCAGGTCGCTCAACAGCTGATGGGGTGTTCTGTGTGCGGTCTCTGTGTGAGAGAGCTTTGCTCGGAAATTGGAACTATTCGGCAGCATTACTCGATTTCAGCGGTGCATTCGACACAGTGAACCGTGGCAAGGCGCTCGATCGAATGGCCGATTCGGGTGCACCCACCTCAATGATGAAATTGCTAGTCTCCGATACGACAGCTAGGGTGAAGATTGCTGGGCAGCTCAGTGCTCCCTTCTCAACCAATATCGGCGTGGTCCAGGGGGACCCGATGTCTCCGGCCATGTTCATCGTCTACGCAGAAAGTGCGATGAGGCAGGTGAGAGCAGCCTGCACCTCCCCTTCATGCCTGCCTACTCATTTCTCACAGTATGCAGATGACACCACAATACATGACACTGATCTTGATGCTGTGGTGGCCGCTGCAGCGAAATGGGAGCCAATTTTCGCCCAGGATGACCTGAGATTAAATCTAACAAAAACTCAATTTGTAACTCCTTCCAAGGATGATGACGCATGGAGAAAGACGAAACTACTTGGAAGTCTCTTGGGATCTGGAAGTGACATCGAGAACCGTATCAATGCCGCTAACCGAGCGTTTGGCACTATAGCCTGGAAGAGACACACTTTATTATCTAGAATGCTTATGTTTACCACTCTTATCCTTCCGGTTCTACTATACAACTGTGGCCTGTGGACCTTGACAGCAGCACTCGGCAACAGGCTCGACACGTGGCATCGCCGCAAACTACGATCCATTCTCGGCGTAGTGTATCCCCAAAAAATATTGAATAAAAACTTATACAAGCTGTCCAACCAATTGCCTATCACCAGAACATGCAGGGAACGGCGTTTGTTATGGTTCGGCCATGTAATCAGAGAAGGCAGTGACTCGACATCCTACAAAGCTCTAAGACTTTCAATCGACACCAAAGACATCAAGAAGCCCAGGGGACGCCCCGTCACCAGATGGATCGACAACATCAAGAATGACTTAAAGACAATAAACGTTTCCATTGCCGAAGCGGAAGCTATTTCCCAAGACAGGGAAGCTTGGCTCGGCATTGTGAATCAATGTACTAACTTATCATTCTAAAAAATATCTGCGCTTACTTGAATATCCTTTTGGTAAATAACATTCTGTACTTAATTAATATTATATTCCTCATGCCTAGGCTCATGGTGGAATCGAGGTAGTTTTTCCCTGCAATAACAGAATGAAAAAGGTGTGTATGTCATGTGTTTCTCGTTTTCTCTAACTCTTTTGCCGACAGATGCGTTAGCCCCATGGGTGATGTCACCCATGGGGTACATGCGAGCTGTTATTATTATTATTATTATTACTATTTGGAAAGGATTGGGAGAACTTCAAATTCAAAGGATCAGTCAGGGAAGTGAACTGCCTGAAAAGAGAAAAAAACGCCAGACCCACCAGGACTCGAACCTGGGACCCTGCTTGTCATGAGCAATGCTCTAACCACTGAGCTATGGGACCAGGCTGAACCTAGAAGGCGCTGACAAGTCTTTTACTCCAAAGGCAGCTCACAACACGTGCCACACATACTGATGGCACTTGGGTCTTTTTCCCTCCCCCAGGGGACCAACCACGGTCAGTTTCTGGAAACTACCAGAGGTGAAAGAAAGTGATTAAATTTGGAAAGGATTGGGAGAACTTCAAATTCAAAGGATCAGTCAGGGAAGTGAACTGCCTGAAAAGAGAAAAAAACGCCAGACCCACCAGTCCTGGTGGGTCTGGCGTTTTTTTCTCTTTTCAGGCAGTTCACTTCCCTGACTGATCCTTTGAATTTGAAGTTCTCCCAATCCTTTCCAAATTATTATTATTATTATTATTTGAAACTCGGATGTCTTGTTTTGTAGTCAACTAGTCCATCACAATGTCATGCATGAGGAGTACTGTAGGAGTTTGGCTTTCGGCTTGTACAATTCGTTTTCGCAAAGCTTCCCTTTCTTTACTTATCTTTGATATTTATGACCCACCCAAGTTGGGTGGTGTGCTGCTTTGCTGCTTCGAATTGTAGTTAGACCGCTTTGTCAAATATCGTACTGGTCTCGTCATCGTCCAGTAACAATCGACATTCTTTGTTCCGTTGGGACTGTAGCTTTTGCTCGTTTTCGTTGCGCTTGCCTTCCCCTCTTTGGTCTTTCCATAACCTTGAACCTTCCAAGTTGGAAGGCTGTCGGTTAGCGC